GTAGCCAATTCGAAAACTTATGATTATTGCGCATTCTTATATCTTTGAATCTTCTTGGGCTTGTATTCGATCGATATCTGCACGAATATACGACTTATATGAATATCGAAGTTTAAATTGCTTATAACCAATCAATATAACTTAAACTATACAAAGTACTAAATTAACAATTTTCATATAAGTAGTATCAGTACCCTAAGGTACAATACCGATACTTCTACCCTATGGTATCGATACTATGCTTCAGTACCGATACCCAATTTCTTTTCTGGAATTCATCTTCAAAATGGTATCGATACTTGCTCAATGGTATCGATACCCCCAGTACCGATACTACTCCTTTGGTATCGATACTCCTTGAACAATTTATCAACTTTGGCCTAATGGTATCTATACTTATTCAACCAGTATCGATACCCATACCTCAAATATCACTCATTTCCTCTTTGAAGTATCGATACCGAATGAACAGTATCGATACCCCTTGCCCATAATTTATTTATCTTGCCCAAAAAATTACCAAACTTACCTAAATCTTCTACTATAACCTTCTTTTAACCCTTTATACTTAACTATACTTATTCAAATCATCTTATATCCATATAACACATCATCATCTTCAATATTTCATCATAATTATTGAAACCAAAAATCTTACTAAATTTCCAACATGTTCTAATTTGATTTCCAACACTTCTAACTTCTTAATTATATCCTTGACAAGTCAAATATGGTTTAAAAATCCATTTATAACTTCTCCCTCATCAATTCACTTAAATCCTCCTTTTAATAAATCACTAATAACTTGTTAATCTCGTAGTTTTACACCACTATAACCTTTCCTTAAGCTTCTTTGACAATCCAAGAATCAAAATTGACCTTAAAATAAAAGAATTAATCCATAAAAAGCATACTCACCTTATGCAAGAAGAATCCACGATGGAGAGGAGAAAGAAGAATAGCATAGAGAATTATGGGTTTCCTTATTACTCATCTCCTCTTTTCCATGTATATATAATACCAACCTCTCAAATTTTTAATTATTTCCCTATAAAATGACCATTATGCCCTTTTTATTTCCAAACTTTATTATTCAATCATGTTCCAAGAAATTTCAATTAAGCTCTTGAACTTTTCAATTTTTTTAAATTGATCACCAATTTTCAAAAACTCACATTTTAATCACTAGTCCTGTTTTTGAGATGTTACATTTATGATCAGTTTTCAGAAAGGAGAGAAATATTGTTCATTTCAAGGACCACATCATGGGTAGAAGAAGTAATAATTTGGACCGACTGACATGGAAATTAAACAACGAAGTTTCCTTGTAATAACAAGTATTAAGTGTGCAATTTGCTCTTGGGGATGAAAATTGAAGGGACTCTACCGCCTTACCGCCTTAGGGTTTCAATTTTATAGGGACAGGCAGCGGCATGGCACAACTTTACCCGGCAACAGGCATCTTAAGAATCAAAAGAAGCTTAAATGCTACGAACTAGAGGGCTATTTGCTCCAATTTTAAGGTACAATTTTTTCATACCTAGAGTTAAGGTCATTGTCCACCTAGGTAGGTATGTTCATGTGTTATATCGAGTTACGTTTTTAATCTATTTAAATTTGATCTGAAAATTAAATACCTTAATCTACAATTGGTCTTAACTGAGTTTATGATGACTCTATTCAACTTGAAACAGACTCGATTCTTAAGATAAAAAATTGGATCCCATTTGACCTGACCCGATCTATATATATATATATATATATATTAAAATAAGAACTTAATTGGAAAAAATAATGTATAGATGTATTATTGTAATTATCCTTAAATATATAAGAAATAATTATAATATTAACTCAGGTTGGGTTGGATCAAATAGTTTTTTCATCTTAAGTTAGAATCCGACCTTATCCCTTCAAAAATTCCAATCGGATCTAAATTCAATTTTTTTTAAAAAAAGATGACCTAATCAAATCAAATTAGGTCAAAAATCATGGAATTCGAATAGAATATATTTCCCTGGATATATACATGATTTTCGTATCACAATATGAATTTTTAAAAAATTATATTAAAATTTAAAAATATGTCAAATTATAACATTATGAATAATAAATTAAATTATTAATAAAAATATATATCAATATAAAAATTTAATTTTTTAAGATGTGACTATCCTTCGATACCCCCTAAATCTCTGTGCTTTTATCCCATGCTTAATAATTTAGTTCATATTAGTATTTATAATTAAATTTAAATAAAAATAATTAGTAATAAAATTTAATTTCAATAAATTATTTTTTATTATTTACGTAAATTCTAAATCCTAAACTTCAAAATTTTAAGATATTATTAACAATTTAAAACTATTCAGGTCTGGTTTAATTCATTGTTGACAATAGATATTTTCTTTAATATTATTGTAGAATTAAGATAAACATTTCTCATAAGATGAGGAGGATCGTTGAAATGGCCGATGCGTGTTGGTTTAAATTACTTAACTCAGTGTAAATTCGCCATGTTTGATGAGAAATTTTGATTTAGAATGGAAAAGAAAAACAATGGAGGAAAGTTTTAAGAGAAAATATTACAATATTTTGATCATCATTTTTTAATTCTTGTCAATCATGACATCCAACTATTTAAATGCATTCAATCAAGCCATTAAAAATATATATTTTAATTATTAACGACCGATGGTTTAATTGAATGCATTTAAATAGTTGAGTGACCTAATTAATAAAAATTCAAAAATAATGATCAAAATAAAAAGCGACTATAGTTGGACAGTATATAGTTTATTTCTTTTATTGAAAATTTGTAGATTTGAGAAAGAAAATAATCATGAAATAGAAGCAAATAAAGAGAATTCTTCATCGTAGATAGCTAGGGGCACAACACATATTAGGTTAGGTACGGACTTTAAGAGTTATATTAAAAATGTAAGAATTCTGAAATTATAAAATTTTATTAATATAAAATTAAATCATCAATAGAATATATAAATAAAATATTTAATGTTTTCAAGAAAACGACGAGAATCTTTTGGTCTATTCATGATCATACAGTTGATGGATGTTGTAGAATGGATGTATAAGAACAAAACATCATCTATAAAAATGGAGTCATTGACAACTGTAGCAGATGCACTCATAGTTGAGGGTGAGCAAATTCAAATTTTTTAGATTAATGTATTTTATTGATGGTGTATACTCTAAAATTTTATTGTGTTCATACTGACATCTGAATTTTCTTCGATTAGTAATTCATTTTATTAATAGTTTCCATCTTGAAATTTATTTTTATTTTCATTTCATTTAAAAAATTTATACTATTAATATATGTGTTTATCCTAAAAAAATATTTTAAAATCCGTCTTTGATTTACGGGGAGGGAGCCTACTGATTAAATAATCAATGGCATTATTCCTTTCTATGCCATGCAGAATGCTTTAACATTCCCTCGTCTTACCCGCCACCTTTAGACCACACAAACACCCTTCACACAAACACAATCTACCTCGGTTCCTTGTCTACTTTCAAAAAACGCAATGTCCAGTTCCGACAGGTTGCCGACCCTACGCACCGATCAGGACTCCCGACCCATGAAACGCCAGCACACTGCTCGATACTACGCCGAGCGGGTTCGTGAAAGCTGCACGGCTAGGGTCACTAAAATAGTGTGCGCCATCTTTTTATGTCTCGTTTTAGTTGTCGGCATTGTTTTCTTCGTCTTATCGCTTAGTTTACGCCCCCATCGTCCGAGGTTCCATATGCTGGAGTTCACCGTTTCCGGTTTGGCTCAACCCACAGGGTTCGAGAATGCTGAAATAACGTTCAATGTCACCGTCAGGAACTCCAACCAACACATCGGAATCTATTACGACTCCATGGTCGGTTCGGTTTTTTACAGAGATCAACGGATTGGGTCAGCTCCATTGAAGGACCCGTTCTTCCAGGACCCAAAGACGACTACGGTCGTGGACCGTACGTTCGGTGCGGCCTCGCTTACTGTGAACAGCAAGCGATGGGAGGAGTTCATGAACGATAGGCAAAAGGGGACGGTGGTTTTTCGTTTAGATATAACGTCAGTCATTAGATTTAAGGTTTCTACGTGGAGGAGTAAACATCATAGGATGCATGTCACTTGTGATGTTGCAGTTGGTCGAGATGGAACGATCTTGCCGGCTTGGAAGAACAAGAGATGTCCCGTCTATTTCAGTTGATTTATTTCATGTATACATATATGCATATACGTATGTTGTGTAGTTCCATTTGTTGTATTATCATTCTTGTTTGATTCGATTAATTTGTACCATTATGTCTTATGATACACAATTTCAAACCTTTCAGGCTTTATCCGGATGTGAATCAAAGAAAAACTTTGTAGCTTAAGCTTTATCTAAATATAGGGATAAAGATGAGCATTTAGATCAAATTTGATACGTTTTGATATGATTCAATTCAATATGATCAGATTAAGTTGATTTTTTTTGAAAGGATGAGATTTAATCTAGTCAGGTTTGAGTTTATAGAAAAAACACCAACTCGACTCAAAATAATATTATAATTATCCATTTATATATTTAACGATAATTACAATAATACCTCTCTATATTAATTTTTAATTAGGTCTTTAATTTACCTAATAAAATGAATATATACACACACAGGGTTGGATGCAAAATTTTACCTCAAAAATCAAGTCGAATTTTAGATTGATAAAAACCCTGATAAACCTTGATCGGTCGAGTGTAAAAGGAAAGGTTTAATTTTCAAATCGTGTTTAGATGGGTCAAATACAACCTATGAACATCCTTATATGGACCTCACCATAAATATAGTATGTATTTAAGTAGTATTGAACTCACATCCTTTTGTAAATTGTAAAATCAAAGATGCCAATAGAACTAAGACTCAATTGGTCAATCTAGATTTTTTTTTCTTAAGAAAGAAGGCTTCAAAAGGTGAACTCTCGTGCAACAATTAGTCCTATGAACCTTACATGTCACATAAAGCAAAGTACAAAACTCACCAAAAGAAAAGAATACAGTTCGTAACTTCTCAACTTTCCATCTTAAACTTGCATCCTTAGACGAATGAAAGCCTTAAGCTTTAACTTTATTCTCACTCAAACCACTATTTCCCTACACCCTGAACCAAATTCCATTACCATTCAATTCCTGTGGAAACCCCTGTTCTGTTTTCCATTCTCAGACAACAATGTTCGGAACCAAAAGCGTTACCTTTTGGCTTCTTCAGATTATTGGCCTCGTAGGCCTTCTCGCTCTTTGTCTATGGTTAGTGTTGCGTCCCAGAAGCCCCAATTATACGATCATGAACTTTTCGGTCCCTTCGGTAAACGATAGTAGTGCGTCCAATCATGGGATCATCCAATATGAGCTTGATATCGATAATCCGAACAAAAACTCAGGTATTTACTACGATGATATCTTCCTAATCTTTTATCATGGGGTCGATACGGTGGGGAACAACACTGTCCCATCATTTTATCAAAGGAAGGATCGGAATTTCCGAGTGCTCAAACATGTTGATGTTGACACCCCCTTGTGGAGAGCTCTTCGCAGCGCAATACTGAATGCAACAGCTGAACTAAGAGTTGATTTATCAACTAATATCAGATATAAAACATGGGGCATAAAGAGCAAGCACCATGGACTACACAGAGAAGGAAATATACCGATAGGTAAAGATGGCAAGATATCCAACAAGAAGAAGAAAGTTAAACTTCGGCATGCATCAAAAAGGTTGAAACTAAGGGCTACCAGATTTCTCTGAAGTCTCTTTAACATCTTGCCTTGGTTTTCTTTATGTATGTCACCTTCTTCTTTCCTCCTTGGTTCTGTATATAATTTTCTTAGGTTGATGAATTCCAGTGTTTAAACGTAATCATCAAATGCAGACATGCAAATAAAACAATATTATTCTTTTCTATCAACATGTACCAAACCTTCAATCTCATATATAAACTTCTTTGTTTATTCCAAAAGAAACATGGAGGAATTCTTTTACCTATCTTTCCTGCGAAACAGAAAAATAAAATGCATGTGATAATATGATTCACTAATTGCACAGATCAATACAGCGGAGATGTATAAAATATAACCCAAATATTTTATTAGAACATCAAAAAGTTACAAAGCTTAATGAGGTTACAACCTTCATCGAGACAAACACCAAAAATAAAACACAATCAAACCTTTTCATATCATAGATGAACATAATCAACCTTTCCACCAAAATCCGACTTAAAATTGCAAAATACACTAGCCATATGAGGAAATAAAGCAGATGACAATAGCAACACCGAGTCCAAGAAATCACAGAATTGAAGTTGTGGTCATGGTCAATGAGAAATCATACAGTTAGCATTCTATCTTCCTCCCTCCAAATTAATTTCGAAGAAAGAAAAAATGGTAAAACTTATTAGGGAGACAAGTACCATACATAACAGTATGGACTAAGCTGTTAATAAACCTCGGGATTTCCCCTTTGTTGAACTCCATCTCTGAATAACTATTTGTCTTCGCCAAACATGATTAGGAATCTGCAAAGTGATAACTTGAACATGTTCATGCCTCTTTTTGTGTCAACCTTGGAAGAAACTAAATTGGCTGATGAGTGTTTAATCTACAGTTCCACCCTGATAACAGATCAGAGTTACTGAGAATGTAAGTGTCCTTACTGCAGGGAAGCCGCCATAGTCCCCGGCCTATCTGATGTCCTTAGTGATACAGCTATTAGCAGCTACTCTGACCTGCAACAGCCAACTTCAGTTAGAAACATACATTTCTTGGAATTATTCATAACTTTGACTCCTCTGCTATGCTGAATAACCAAATCAACAAGGGAAAAGCTACATTAAGCAAGACATTAGAGCAAGTAGACAGTCTGAAGTTCACAAAGGCCCCTCAACATCTTTATGCAATAATTCTTCTTTTCTTCTTAACATCAAGTAAATACCTTCGATACAATAGAGACGTGATCACGAACTGCAGCTCTCCCCCCCAGAACTACGTAGTCTCCCATCCTGTGGCAGGAGAAACAAAATATGATCAGAACTCCCAGAAAAAATTGAAAACTTCATCATGTTCACATGCATGACATGAATACACTCAACTACACATGAGAAACTTGAAGGAAAACTGAAAAAAAGAAGGAAAAACTAAAATGATAACAATAACATACATCACTGAACCTGCTATGCCGACCTGCCCACAAAGCATGCAACTTTTCCCGATAACTACATAATGTCCAAGCTGCAAAGGCCAGCAGTTGGGAAGATTATACCATGAGCATTCCTATCAACACGGCCAGACAGGAAAAAAAAAATACCCACCTGAACCAAATTATCTATCTTTGAGTGATCTCCTATTACTGTGTTCCTCCAACTGCAGAACCAAATAGGTGATATACTTTTGTTAAACATTTGTCTGCTTGGAAATGCAGAAACTAGTTAGGAGGGGAAAACATCCAGACTCAAATAGATAACTAGCCTGCCCCGATCAATGCATGTGTTAGCTCCAATATCCACATGGTTCCCTATCCTAACATTTAGCATCTGAGGAAAAACATAGGAAAAAAATAGTAAACCAAAATACATTTTCAACAAATCTGAATGAAATATCTGAAATCCACTTTTGATAATTTCCAGAGGCTAACAAGCATCAATTCTTTTCCTCTTTCTTTATTCTTTCCTATATCAATAAGAATGAATTCAATAACATAAGAAATGCCAATTATAAAGTGTTTCCTAAAGTTTGGCCTCTTAGTGCTCAAAACACAAACAAGCCTTAAAGGTCATAAAACAGCATAAGAGACAAATTAAACTATCCTGACAGTTAGACTGTATATATATATATATATATATGTTTCAATTTTACTACAGGTTTCTATTAACATGTTTAGTCCATTTTTAATTATTTAAGTATTAAAAATATCATCATGTTATTGTGTATTTTTCAAGTTTGTGAATGTTGTAGTTCTTAAAGTCCAATAAACACCAACTTGAGGCTTCTTGACCATGTTTCCATCCTCACCGACAAAAAATCCAAATCCTGCAAATGAATAAAATCATACAAACAATTCAGCTCCAGTATAATTACATATTAACCATCATTTTGATAGTGGATTAACCATCATTTGTAGAATAAAATCTTGACCAAATAACTGGATATATGTAAACATTTTGATAGTGGATTAACCATCATTTGTAGAATAAATCCCATGTCTTTTATAACTTTCAAGCTCAGAAGAAGATGATGGCCTTACCATCTTGGCCGATGCAAACTCCATTATGAATTACACATGAATCACCAACAGTGCAGTTACTCAGTGCAGCATTATAGCTGAAGAAAGCTCAATAAAGTAAACTATAAAAAAGGAGGCCCTAGACACAAAATCTAAGCAAAGCACGTAAGTTTCACAGTGAGGGATGTCTGCATATCAACAGATTTACCCAATCTTCGTAAACTGAACGATGGTAACACAAGGTCCAACTACAGTCCCAGACCCAACTCGAGCATTCGCACCCAACACGGATTTCGGATGAACTATGGCCCCGAACTCGATAACCGCTGTCGGATCAATAGAAGCTGACTTATTATGAAAACGGCCACCTCCATTTTGCCATTGCAAAAAATCCTGGGCACCATCAGCCTCAGCTCCGGTTTCTGTATTGAAAGGGGCAAAAAGATGAAGAAAGAGCAAGTTAACTGGCAAGTATTTTGAGTAATATTTTGGTTGAGACATTTTATCAAACAGTTTAGATGCTATAGAAACCGACCAGAGTTCATCCATATGACGGATTGGGTAGTTGAGGATACGGAGAAATTACAGAGAGTGCCAAAACGAGGGAAGCTTCTGAAAACGGATGCAACAATGGGGTGTACTCTTTTCAGAGTAACTGCCATAACGACCGGGGGAAAGTCTAAGTTACTGTGATGGTTTATTGGAGAGATGGAAGCAGCAATTGCGGGTACTCTATTTTCTGGTGTTGAATATATCATAACGTGTTGTTAAGTTCTATTACTATGTATTACTTATAAGTAAATAAATTGTTGTTATTTTTGAGAATTTGAGTTCGAGCATCATAAATATCAGGAGTGTAAGCTTTTAATGTTGAAAGTTTGACAGTTATCTTCGAACAGATACTGTATTTTATTTATCCCATATTATTAAAAAAATTATTAAATATATCTATTTATATATTTTTTTTCTCAATTATTTAATTAAAATTTTCATTTTTGCTTTATATTACAAATAATTTTTAAAGTAAATTACATCATTCTTCACTGAACTTTACTCTATCTTATTTTGCTCACCGTACTTTTAATTTTTCTATTTTGTTCACTGAACTTTACTGATTGAATTATTTTGCTCACTCTGTCGTTAACTCATTAACGTTGTGATGATGTGTTATTTTTTATTATTTTAATATAAAAAATTGAAAATATAAAATGTAAATTACATCGTTCCTCACTTAAATTTAATATCTCTCCTATTTTGCTCACCCAACTATAAAATAAAAATAGAAGGTGATTGGATGCCACCGCCAGCCACCGTCGACCGTCGTAGATAGTGGTCGTTTGGTCTCAAATTTTATAGGTTGTTTCACCCTGACATCTTGAGTCCGAATTTGACCTCTATTTTGTCGGAGCTTGCTCCAAAGTCCACATATTGAAGATTGAAAGTAAGGAAACCGAAAAGTTTCAGTCAAAATTCACGAATTTTGGGACCTTTTCCGGTGAAAAAACCATCAGATTCGGACTCAGGGGTCGAGATGAACTAACCTATGAATTTTGGGACCGAACGATCACCATCTACGACGGTCAACTGTGGCTGGAATAAAAAATGACATAGTGACCGATGACGACGATATTCGAAATGACGTTGTTTTTATGTATATTTGAGTTTTTCAAATAACGTCGTTTTGATGCTTGTGCTGTGTTATTACATCGTTAGAGAGTTAACGACAGAGTAAGCAAAATGATTCAATCTGTAAAGTCCATTAAGCAAAATAGAAAAATTGAAAGTACAGTAAATAAAATAGGAGAGAGAGAGTAATATTCAATGAAAATTAATATAATTTACCCTACTTTAAAAAAAAAGTTAATAAAAGTAAAAGTCTGCCCTGTATTCCACCTTCGAAATTCTTTTCTTGCTTGTTAACAAAGATAATGCATGACCTGTGGTGGCGGTTGATATCCGTTAACTCTCGGCCCGCTGATTAATTCAGCTTTAAATTGCCGAAGAACTGAAAGTCTGAAAATCCACCTTACCGGAAACTTCGCCGAATGCGGATAATCTTTACCAGAAGGGATGGGTCAAGGCAGGGTGGGAATAATAACTTTGAAAATTTAAAATTATCGTATATTTTAGATTTTTTGTTTGTATTTTTTATTAAAAATCAGTTTATTTCAAAATCTGAAATTTTAAAATGTTTAAATTCACCCCGCAGAATCTTGCGTCCCATCCCTGTTTACCGGACTTGTTTTTCTACCAAAACTTGTACCTACATTCTGTGGTTCATCCCTTTGTTTTTGCATAAGCACTGCAACCACCGCGTCTTGAGTTGACTTCTGCATCAACATGTCCTCATCTTAAACCATTTTAAATTATTTTCCGTCGCGGTCATTACGTTAGAGACTTCAACATGGTTTACTAGTAAACTCGATCTAGTTAAGAAAAATCATATATCACGGTAGGTGAATTTCCCTTGAAAGTTCTTCACTGAAATTTCTCAGCAAATACTATTGGTAATATTTAAGGTTTGCTTGTAGGGTAAAGCTGCGGTAGAGCCATTCTTGCAGTTTAGCAGAAGAAACTGGGAATTTAGACAAGATATGGAACATTCAACGAATTTCAGACAAACCCTTCATTTGCTTCTGCTTTGTTCTTTTCTGTTCGGTCTTCATGATCTTGTTCTTGCTGATCCGCCCTATCCACTTTGTTCAAACAATACCATTACCAATACTAATAATAGTTCATTTCAGAATAGTCTGCAAAATTTGCTGGATTCACTGACCTCAAACGCTTCGGTCTCCAAATACTTCAATCTCTCCTCGGGGAACGAATCCGATAAAGTATACGGTCAGTTCATGTGCCTCGACTACGTTACAGCTGATGAGTGCCGTGACTGCATCTCAGGAGCGTCGCAGGCTATAATGAATCTTTGTGGGAACAAAACGGAAGCGGTCGTATGGGAGGAAGTTTGCCAATTGCGTTACTCGAATGTTAACTTTCTCGGACGGTTGAACGTCGAAGACAACATTGGCAAAGACAACGTAATTAACATCTCGGAGCCTGTAAAGTTTCAAGCTATTGTGGAGAACAAGATGATGAATCTGACTAAAACAGCAGCCTTTAATTCATCAGCGAATATGTATGCTACCGGAGATGAACCGTATACGGTCGACGACACCGTGTATGCTCTGGTGCAGTGCACCTTAGACTTATCCCCCGATCAATGTAACACATGCCTAGTAGCTGCCATAAAAGATGTTTCGTCCTGGTGCTACGGTTCTCGTGGGGCACGATTACTTAGTCGGAGTTGTTATCTTCGGTATGAGTTATATGCCTTTTACGAAGGTGCCAATGGCAATGAGTCCTCTGTTTCTCCACATATTCAACCTACAAGTTCAACAAGAGGTATGCATATTTCATTGAAATTCCATGAAACTGAAACAGTTCCATGAAAGTGATGCACAATTCTTCGCTTTGAAATGCAGGCGGTGGAAATGGAAAGAAAGTATGGGTGATTGTAGTTATCGCAATTGGATCGGCAATTTTGCCGGTAGTGCTGATGGCTTCCATTGTATACTTCGGTGTAACGAAGAAAGGAACTCGAAAAGGTAACCATAGCAACCAGTGATCTCAAATCTTCATGTTTTTTAAGGCCTTTTAGAAACAAGTTTTGCTCCTTGTTTTGATGTCCCAGGGAAGGACGAAATTGTGAGAAATCATGTTCAACTACACAATAATGGCGACCATGAGAACCCAGGTGTCCAGGATCAGTATTTTGAAGGGTTAGATGAGTTAAAAGCAAATGATTCTTATATTGATTTGGCATCCATACACTCAGCAACCGATAACTTCTCGGATTCGAACATGCTCGGACAAGGTGGTTTTGGACCTGTTTACAAGGTAATATTGATGCCCAAATCAACAAATTTGCAACATATTATTCCTTTTTCTGCAATTTAAAACAAAATGGGTTGGCTTTTTAGGGTGTTCTTGCTGATGGAAAGGAAGTTGCTGTCAAAAGGCTTTCAAGCTTCTCTGAACAAGGTGCCTTGGAGTTCACAAATGAAGTCCTATTGATTTTGAAACTTCAACATAAAAACCTTGTCAGGCTTCTGGGTTTTTGTGTGTGGACCAGCAGGAGAAGTTGCTTGTTTATGAATTCATGCCCAACAGCAGCCTTGATGTTATCCTCTTTGGTATGTTCGTAGGCTCTAAATTTGTTTTGTGAATGTGTTTACTTGATACTTGTTTTTTGTTGCACCAGATCCAAAGAAACGTGCACAACTCAATTGGAGCAAGCGTCTGAACATTATTTATGGAATTGCAAGGGGAATTCTTTACCTACACGAAGATTCACGGCTGAGGATCATACATAGGGACCTAAAGGCTAGCAACGTGTTGCTCGATTTTGATATGAACCCGAAAATCTCGGATTTCGGAATGGCGAGAATCTTTGCAGGCGCAGATAGCGAAGCTAATACAGCACGGATAGTTGGAACTTAGTAAGGCGAAAGAACATAGTCTGATGATCTGCTAAATATTCTTTCTCAAGCATACTAAGATCTGGTTCTTTTTTTCTGTAGTGGATATATGGCTCCGGAGTATGCCATGGAGGGATTGTACTCGAATAAGTCCGATGTTTTCAGCTTTGGAGTACTCTTGCTCGAGTTAGTTACAGGCAAACGGAATGCAGGGTTTCATCAATTGACCCTCGTAGCATATGTAATTTCTTTTATCCAGGTTAAATTACTTGTTTTTCTCTTCGATTTACTAAATACGGCTAGTCACTTTGAATCATGATGCAGGCATGGCATCTATGGAACGAAGGGAATGCTTTAGAGTTGATGGATCCGTTACTCAGCGATGTATCTCCGGATGCATTCTTAAGATTCATCCATATCGGACTGTTGTGCGTTCAACAAGATGCATGTGACAGGCCTACCATGTCGTCTGTTATGGTAATGTTGAAAGGTGAAACAGTGACACTAAGCCAACCACAACAGCCTGCCTTCTCTGCAGGAAGATTTGCGGAGCATCATCAAAGATTCACTCGGAGTTGTTCCGCCAACAGTTTATCGATTTCTAGCATTGCACCGAGATGATTGACCCCCGAACTCCGGTGATGCAGGAAATTGTATCTTCTCTTTACCTGAAGGTTTATGCCAATAATAGTAACTTCATTTGACAGAAACTTAGCACTAGTAATCAACTTTTCCAAGAGATATTGTATGAAATGGTAAGTTTGTGACATATTAACAATGAAAATGAAAATGAAACCATTGATTGTGAACCATTCAAACTCAATCCTCATCAACACTTTTGGGATATTTTTCTAGCAGATATTTTGATCAAGCCTCAATGGCCAATGCATCATCTAAGATATTTTCAACAATCTCCATTCAAGAAAAAAGATTAAATGCCATAAGTTGGCATTCATCACTCCCCACCATCATCATCTCCTTCATCTACCACACAAAACGTACCCGAAAGATCGATGGCAGCAATGGAAACCACTCTCAACTCACTGTCTTCAAGTCCCAAACCGTCGTTCCTCGATCACAAATCATCCTTCCATGGCACTCCAATTCCATCTCGGTTCACTCCGATTAAGTCCTCCTCGCAGAACTCCCCCATTCCATGTCCCTCACCCCTCCTTATGACTTACAATCCTTTAAATTCCAACCCATCAAAGAATCAACCGTGTCCCGCAAAATGACTCGCCGCTACATGATGGACATGATCACCTATGCCGACACCGATGTTATCATAGTCGGCGCCGGTTCCGCAGGCCTCTCGTGTGCGTACGAGATCAGCAAAAACCCCAACATCCGTGTCGCCATAATCGAACAATCCGTCAGCCCCGGAGGAGGCGCATGGCTCGGCGGCCAACTGTTTTCCTCCATGGTCGTCCGCAAACCGGCACACAGGTTCCTCGACGAGCTCGGCATCCAATACGACGTACAAGAAGACTACGTAGTCATCAAGCACGCAGCTTTGTTCACATCGACAATCATGAGCAAGCTCTTGGCAAGGCCGAACGTGAAGCTGTTCAACGCTGTGGCTGCCGAGGATTTGATAGTGAAAGGAAACCGAGTTGCCGGCGTGGTGACGAACTGGGCTCTGGTGTCGATGAACCACGACACACAGTCTTGTATGGACCCTAACGTAATGGAGTCAAAGATCGTGGTGAGTTCTTGTGGGCACGATGGACCATTTGGAGCAACCGGAGTTAAGAGATTGAAGAGCATTGGGATGATCGACAGCGTGCCTGGAATGAAGGCACTGGACATGAACACTGCAGAGGATGCAATCGTTAGGCTTACAAGGGAAATTGTGCCTGGCATGATTGTAACTGGAATTGAAGTTGCAGAGATCGCTGGTTCTCCAAGAATGGTAAACAAAAATCCTCCATTTTTACTCCCCTTTTTTTTTCCATTTTTGATCTGAGTTTTTTATGAAAAAATTCTGGGTTTTATTTTGCAGGGACCAACATTTGGAGCAATGATGATATCAGGGCAGAAGGCAGCACACCTGGCCTTGAAGGCATTGGGGCAGCCAAACGCCATTGATGGGAGCTTGAACGAAGCTGAAAGAGTGCAGCCAGAGTTTGTTCTTGCCGCTGCTGAAACAGAGGAGACTGCGGATGCTTGATATTATGATTTACAGGAAATTGTTGGATATTACATGTAAGCACAACCAAAATTCGATTTAATTTAATTTAATTTAAATTAAAAACAAATTCAAGTGATTTGGAAATAGAACTTGAACAGAAATTATTAAGGAATATTTTAAATAATTTTAGAAATAAAACAATTGAGAAGATAAGTAATGAAAGACATATATATTAAGGCCCACCGAACCCAGAAGCTGAACCTTTGTTTTGTATTATCAATATAAGGCTTAAAGCCCATATCATATCCAGACAATGAAGAATCGCCCACACCAAGCTGGTTATCATAGATACAGTACAAATTTTTAAAATAAATGAAAGAACTATCTATTATGCTTCTACCCTAGCAGCATATTCAAATATACTGATTTTTTACGAATAGATGCTTAAAGTATTTTTGATTTATTTCGGTTCTTAACGTTATAAATATTATTATTTTAGGTGTTCGAGCCTTCAACGACATTAATTTCTTCCGTTAAGTGATACGTGTCACAATCCGATGATTTTAAAATTTATTTTTTTTAAAATATTATTGTATTTATAAAAAAAACTAATTTCTCTTAAATTATAAAAAACCCCAAAATTCATAGGATCTCTAAATCCTAACCTTAACCCGCCGTCGCCACCTTTTCATGCCACGACCACCGCCGCCGACGCAGTCTCTGTCATCCTCCTAATCATACGTTGCCTTAGTTGTCGTCGATTAGTCGTCGGAATCGCGTGGGATCACAAGCTTTTATCCTAAGGTTCGCAGGTATAAAACATCGATTCGTCGTTGATTGGCCGTCAATCGGTGATGATTTCATAGGGGTTTTGGTTGCCGGTGAGGTGAGCTCGGGTGGAGCTTCATCTACGACAAAGGGCGACGATCGATGTGGGTTTAACGGTTAAAATGAAGGTTTTCAAAGTTTTGGGTTATTTCAAAATTTGTATTTTTTAAAAATATATAAATTTAATCTTTTAATTTTAAGTAAATTTTTTAAAATTACCAGATTGTGACACGTGTCACTTAACGGATGAAATTAACACTCTTGACGGTCTCGACACCTAAAGCGTTAACATTTGTAACTTTAGGCACCAGGATATGTAAAAATAATACTTTAAACACCTATTCGTGTAAAGAACTATAGTTTAAGTACTTATTTTATATTTAAGCCAAATTTTAAATCATTCAGGTGATCTAAACTCACACACACACACACACACACACACATATATATATATATATATATATATATATATATATATATATATATATATATATATATATATATATATATATATATATATATATATATATGAAATTGGTCCATCAAATCTAAAGGGTGTAAACTTCATTAATTTTATATAAAAATATAATCTTGGATGAATATAATCTTTTAATCTCAACCATCCAATTAAATTTAGGGTAAAATACATAAATGATCCTTGATTATAAAACATTATTTTATTGAATTCTTCGACTATTAAAAGTTATAAAATGGTCCCCTGATTATAGTGATCTGCTTTGTTAAGTTTCTCGACTACTAAAAGTTACAACATTTTCATTCGACTATTCATATGTTCCAAACTCCTTTTTTTTGTTAAAAATTGGAGATTGTCTGAACATGATGTTAACTTGTTCATTGTGATATGATAAAATCTGATTTCATAATCGTTTGATTTGAATATTTTGGATCGAGTCTCTATTTGTATTATGTCTTTGAGTCAGTGCTTGAAAGCAACAATGGTATCAATAGACATAATTAAAATATGATTTTATCATATCTCAGTCAGTAGGTTAATGTCCAGCTCAGACGACTGTCATTTTTTTAACTAAAAAAGATGAGTTTAGAACATATGAATAGTTGAATGACCATTTTATAACTTTTAATAGTTGAGGGATTCAAGAAAGCAATGTCCTATAATCGAAGAACCTTTTTGTAACTTCTAATAACCTGGATACTCAACAAAACAACTTCCTATAATAAGAGACTATTTATGTACTTTATCCTTATATTTATTATGCAATCGGTGCCTAAAATTCTTGCAGAAGTATCAAGCATGGGTAGACTTCTTACCGCTGACTTAATCTCATAGTTTAATAAATTAAGAGATTGAAATAAATTCAAAATCACATGTTATTGATGATGGCTGATTCCTTCTCCAAAATTTGCTTTCTGGCTTTGTTTCTTTCGATCTTTTGCTCCGCCAGTTTGGCGGAATCAGAGTTATTGTACAACTGCTGCTCCAATGCAACCGGAAACAGAGTCTACACCGCCAACATCGACCGCCTCTTCTCTTACCTCTCAACCAACGCCACGGAGGAGCACGACGGGTTCTTCAACACCACCTCCGGACAGGAGCCTCACACGGTTTACGGTCTCTATCTCTGCCGTGGTGATGTCGGTCCGAAAATTTGCCGTGACTGCATCAACGTTGCTGCTGCTGAGATGCCTCGTCTTTGTCCTAACAAAACATGGGCTATATTGTGGTATGCCGAGTGTATGCTGCGTTACTCGAACGAATCAATCTTTTCCTCCATGGCTGAAAAGCCTGGTGTAGATCAGTGGAATTATAATCACGATGCAATGGAATCGGACCGCTTTAACCGGCTGGTGGCATCCGCGATGAAGAACGTTACAACTGGAGCTTCGAATTCTACTAAAAAGTTTGCTACAAGCGAAGCCGCTTTCACAGAGTTCCAAACCCTTTATAGCCTGGCTCAGTGCACACCTGATATTTCGACTAAAGATTGCTACAGATGCCTACAGGATTCTGTTGCAGATTTGCTAATTGATACCGGTGGAAACAAATCAGGATTCGCCCTGCGACCGAGCTGCACAGCGCAATATCAGACCGCCCCTTTCTATAACATTGTAAGTAACACAAGCCAAGCCGCCCCGCCGCCTGAACAGCCTCTTCCGCTTCCTCCCCCTCCAGATCATTTTCATAAAAAGGGGTTGTCCATGTCATCACAGACAGTGATTAAAATTGTTGTTCCAACAGTGGGGTTCTTGGTTTTGTCCAGTTTCGTATGTACAAGCAAGAAACTAATCGCACTAAGAAACCGAAAAGGTAAACCAGAATGGTCTAACTACAGAATATGATCATATAAATCAAGTTGGTTTATGTATATACAATCATTTGTAGATGGAATGAAAGCCAGGGCATTGCAATCTCTGCAATTTGATTTCAGCATCATTAAAGCCGCCACGGACAACTTCGCCGAAGCTAATAAGATCGGTGCCGGTGGATTTGGCAGTGTGTACAAGGTGAGGAAAATTAAGAGTTAAGACTTAGAGATAGCTCCGAGGTTGATTGTTTCATAAGAAATCACTGTTTTTGATTAGGGTATGCTTCCTGATGGACAAGAAATAGCTGTGAAGCGACTATCGACAAGCTCCAGTCAAGGTGCCCAAGAGTTTAAGACCGAAGTCGTGTTGGTAGCGAAACTCCAGCACCGGAATCTGGTGAAGCTATTAGGATATTGTTTACAAAGGAAAGAGAGGATGCTTATCTATGAATTTGTGCCCAACAGAAGCCTTGATCACTTCATATTTGGTTTGTTCCTTTCAAGCAAATATGCTCTTAAGTTTCACCAAAGGAATTGATCATGATCAACAACTGTTATTCATTTCAGCTACTGAAAAACAAAGACAATTGGATTGGCCCCAACGATACAAGATCATTAAAGGGATTGCTCGAGGGCTTTTGTACCTTCATTCGGATTCTCGCCTCAAAATCATACACCGCGATCTTAAAGCCGGAAATATCTTACTAGACGAGGGCATGAACCCAAAGATTTCCGATTTCGGCATGGCGAAGCTTGTAAGGGAAAACAAAAGTCTACAACAAACCAAGAGAATCGTCGGCACATAGTAAGTTAATTTTCCTTTTACTGAAATTATAGGTTCATTCCTGACGCTGCTAATTTGCAGTGGTTACATGCCTCCGGAATATGCAATCCATGGACAATTCTCCGACAAGTCCGACGTGTTCAGTTTCGGTATTTTGATACTGGAAATTGTAAGTGGAAAAAGAAATACAAGTTTCTGTCACTCTGTAAATGCCGAAAACCTTCTAACTTATGTAAGTACTAGCTGAAATTCGGCCACACCAATATCCGACATTCGCATTCGAGTTCAGATAAATGTGTACTCGGAAGTCTTTTAACTCGAGGTTGTTTGCAGGCATGGAGGCATTGGAAAAATGGGACAACAATAGAATTGATGGATTCGACCTTACGTGACTCGTACGTAAGCAATGAAGTCATTAGGTGCATTCACATTGGCCTGCTGTGCGTTCAAGAAATTCCGGAAGTGAGGCCTACAATGGCGAGAGTTGTTATCATGCTCAGCAGTTCATCGGTTACTCTACCATTACCTCAACGAACAGCGTTCTTCTTCGGCACAACAACAGAGGGAAAGCTTCCGATTGTAGATTATAAATCCGATCAATCGATGAGTACCGTTTCATCTTCTGCTGCCGCCACAGTTAACGAGACGTCCATTACCGAGTTGTGCCCTCGATAATTCCGATCAGGCGTATATCAGTATATGCATATATACTGAAATTATCAAATATAGTTGAGCCATTTAGAATTTCTCAAAAATCCTACTACTTCGATATCTAATAATGATTTTTTCTATTAAACTAATTTGATAACAAAGTAGTATTTGTTTTAAATACTTTCAATTATTTAATAATAAACGTTCAATCATACTGCTGCAGTCGTTAGTGCTCAGACCCATATCCTCTAGGAGCAACAACGATTCTTTTAACCATTGAATTAAGTTAGTTTATGTCCCATTCGAATAATGGTTGCGAATATAATAAATTTATATATAATATTTTATTTGAACCCCAGTCATTTTTAAAGTATTTCTTACATACACTTATTCAAGAGTCGAACCGTTCTATAGAGAACTTCTGTTGTGAGACGCTTAAAAAATGGCGTGACCGGTTAAACAAGTAACCGATTAAAATTCAGACCGGTTATGTTATATCATTTAACCGGAAATATTATCAAGTACAATAACATATTAGGTAGCGTTTATATAATGTAATAGGTAGCGCTTATATAATAAAATAGACATTTAACCAGAAATATTATCAAGTACAATAACATATTAAGTAGCGCTTATATAATGTAATAGGTAGCGCTTATATAATAAAATAGGTATTTAACCGGAAATATTATCAAGTACATAACATATTAGGTAGCGCTTATATTTGTAATAGGTAGCGCTTATATTGACCTATTTTATAAGTAAACCGGTATATTTATACCGGTAACATTGCAAATTTACCTATTACATTATAATTATCGTTTTCGATGTTTTTTTGGATCGATATAATTTTAAATGTATCGACACTTTATGCGTGCACCTTGTTGGACATTCATTCTGGAAACAAGTATCGACATAAACTTAAAGAGTGTCGATATATTATTTAGACCTATTTTTTCATAAAATCGATATATTTCTATTGAGTACATTGTAAATTTACCTATCACATTGTAATTATCGGTTTCGATATTTTTGGGATAGATAGTTTTAATAAATGTATCGACACTTTATGCGTGCACCCGTTTGGCATTCATTATGGACAAAATGTATCGACACAAATTTAATAAGTGTCGATACTTTATGATGACATATTTTCTCATAAAACCGGTATATTTATACTGGTTACATTGTAAATTTACCTATTACATTATAATTATCGGTTTCGATGTTTTTTGGATCGATACTTTTTAAAACATGTATCGGTTTCATAAAATGATTGACATCTCTGTTGCATAATTTTTAATGTGAGTAGTTGGGTTTAGGGTTTAAAATGTTTGCATTTATGTGCAAATCCTATTATTCAGTAGGTTCTTTTCAGCATAATAGACATAATTGCAAAGTTAATTCTAGGTTCGGTCTTCATGCAGAGCAAAAGCTACCGCTCTTGGTAAATCTTTAAATGTCAGATTTCTTGTGTTCTGCCTCGAGAATATAGGCTACTGCACGCATCTAACTAATTGGTCCCGAAACGTGAACGTATATCATAACAACTATCCTTATATAAAATTAAGAACAATTCTTCAACAACTGAATACAACTATTATACGTAATGTTAATCATGCACTCCTTACGTTGGAGGGCTCTAAACCCTCAAAAGAAGATTGCCTTACCAATTCCTAGCTTACCATTTGGACCCTGCAAGGGGTTTTATTGGTTATACTGTCAACATGATTATGAGCTTCCTTTATAATTTCGCATTCAGTAAGACTGTAGAGATTTGAATCAATTAAATTGGATTAAATACTTTAATCCAATTACCATTTCGAGAACAATTACATGAATACATTGATACTTATTGGTCGCTTTAGATTTTCTTCAATATTGATACGCTAGGGCTCCATTTGAAGGTCATCATCTTCGCGAACAAAGATTGAACTTGCAACCTATAACCATTCACAAACAACAAACTTTAATTTTGAAGATTTTCTAAAAAATTAAGGCTTCGACAACATACCTATTGAACACAAGAAGGGAAAAAAGTGTACAATCTGGAAATCAATATCATAATATCGAGAAATTTACATGAATAATTGATCGTAACTGTTATGAACGCTGGTATTCGTCACAGAGGAAGAGAAGAGAATTACCTTTAGGGTTTGTCGATTTAGGGTTTATAGCGTTACATATAAATAATGAAGGAAGAAAAAACGCGTTATTTATAAGTATCGACACAAATCTAAAACGTGTCGATACATTATGTTCACCTATTTTCTCATAAAATCAGTACATTTATACCGATTACATTGTAAATTTACCTATTACATTATAATTATCGGTTTCGATATTTTTTGGATCAATACTTTTTAAAACATGTATCGACACTTTATGCGTGTAACCCTTTTGGTATTCATTTTGGACAAAAAATATTGACACAAATCTAAAACGTGTCGATATATTATGTTCACCTATTTTAACATAAAACTGGTATATTTATACCGGTTACATTGTAAATTTACCTATTACATTATAATTATCGGTTTCGATGTTTTTGAGATCGATACTTTTTATAAATGTATCGACACTTTATGCGTTCACCTTTTTGGGCATTCATTCTGTTCAAAAAGTATAGACACAACATTAAAAAGTGTCGACATATTATGTAGACCTATTCTCACATAAAACCAGTATATTTATACCGGTTATATTACAAAATTACCTATTACATTATAATTATAGGTTTCGATGTTTTTAGGATCGATACGTTTTAAAACATTTATCGACACTTTATACGTGCAACCCTTTTGGTATTCATTTTGGACAAAAAGTATCGACACAAATCTAAAACGTGTCGATACATTATGTTCACCTATTTTAACATAAAACTGGTATATTTATACCGGTTATATTGTAAATTTACCTATTATATTATAATTATCGGTTTCGATATTTTTGGGATCGATACTTTTTATAAATGTATCGACACTTTATGCGTTCACCCTTTTGGGCATTCATTTTATACAAAAAGTATCGACACAACATTAAAAAGTTTCGACATATTATGTAAACCTATTCTCACATAAAATCGGTATATTTATACCAGTTATATTAAAAAATTATCTATTACATTATAATTATAGGTTTCGATGTTTTTGGGATTGATACGTTTTAAAAATGTTTCGACACTTTATGATTGCACCCTTTTGGGCATTCCTTCTGGACAAACAGTATTGACACAAATTCCAAAAGTGTCGATACATTATGTAGACCTATTCTCTTATAAAATCGGTTTAGTTATACCGGTTACATTGAAAAATTACCTATTACATTATAATTATGGGTTTCGATGTTTCTGGGATCGACACTTTCAATAAATGTATCGACACGTTATGCGTTCATCATTTTGGGAATTCATTCTGGACAAAAAATATCGAAACATAATGAAAAAATGTTGATACATTATCGACACATATGCTTACCTATGTTTTGGAAACTTAACGTTTGGGAACCATACTGGACAAAATGTTGGAAACAAATCTTTGTGTTTATTAATTTTTCATTAAAAAAGTATATTTTTACCAACTACATTGTAAATTTACCTTTTACTTTAAAGTTATTGAATTTTGTAGTTATTGTACATACCCTCTATATGGAATGGTCATTCAGTCCCGCACATGATAACAATTATGATGACATTTGGAATAATGCAGACAACAAACTTCATATATCGTAAGTATCAACATGACTCTTACTGTGTATAAGAAACATGTACAATAACCTACTGCTAACTTTTCTCATCTCATACATAATTACATCCACATACAAAATTATAAATCATATTCAAAATTATAAATCTTATACAAAATTAACTCTACATTTATATCATCACTTACTTTTGTTATTCTTGTGTCTCATGGCAGCTTTTGTTATCTCCTGTCTTCGTTGATTTTGATTGTGGCTTACGAGATTGTTTAATATTCGCGATCGATCCTACTCTCCAACAACCTATATTCAAATTGTCAGTACGTTAAGTATTATAAACCACATCATTCAATATACGACTTTTAACAAGTTAACCGCAAACGAATTTTTAATCCCACTTACAAAATCACCAGTTGCCCCTGTAGAACCGATCGATTCCATCCACATCATCACATACATGCCGCAATCATATCTGTAACAAAATTTGAAAACCACACATGTCAATTATGAAACCTGCATAAATTAAGTTTTCTATTTTTGATAGCATCTCATACCCATTCAATTGTTCATTCTTCTTATGCTCCACAAATTTGAAATTTTTCAAGGGGAATTTACTTAGAGATCCACATTCTTCTACCCAAATACGTTTCTTATTATAATTATCTAATATTTTCATTTGAATTAAAAAATATGAAGTTATGATCCAAACAAAATATGCATTATAATTTACATAATGTCCTTTCATACATACCAATCTCTTAGCATCATTCACTCTCTATTTATCTGCTTCAGATGTAAACAAACTATCATATATTGTAGGCAACATGATCTACCATATCCAACACCAACAGATACCAATGTGAATTATGGTAGTTTATTGTGATCATGATCTGCAACAAATTTCACACCCAATTTGAAAAAATTCAACATTCTATATTCGAAACATCATTTGCAATTCGTATGGTGTCTTACCTTCTCACAATCGGTGAATTTCACATAGTTCCCAATATGGAACCCCAAAAGGTAGAAATACTCTCAACACTTACTTTGCTGTTGGAATCCAACGCCTGTTGCTGCAATTACACGACAATCATTATTAATTTACCGTCTATAACACTACTTTTCAACATTTATTAATTTAACTCACCGCTAAGTGGTATGGAAGGTAGCCAATCCTACGGAGTGATTTTTTCGAATCGTAGCATACTGTCTAGGCGAGCAAATCAATAACCTAACAAAATTAATTTCACAATCAGAACATATTCAATAGGTTTTAACATTTTGTACTTTCTACTTACCACACTGCCAACCCATTCTGTAGGCTTCAACGTTGCAAAGTCGGACATATTATCGAATTGATTTTTCCATTGAGATTACAGAATATCTATATGAATCATTAGGATTAATATCTTATCATAAAATATTTAAATATCACTCACAAAGCAATATATTTCACTTACCGCGATTCTAACCCACTATTCCATAAATAATCACAAATTGCAGCTTCGATGTCATCAATTCCGCTTGGAATATCCTTTTTTTCAACCTACAATTTTGCATACAAATTTTTGTCACAACAACATGATAAAGATCAAATTAAGTTTTCTTTTATTCAACTTACTTTCTGTTTCTTCCTATGGGGTGCATGACATTCCGAATCCAAATCTGCATCTATAACACTCTCCGGTGTATAGATCACATCGACATCTTTCCTCCTCATTTCCTCCATCTTTTCTTCTTCATATTTTTTCAGTTCATCGTATTTTTGCTCTACATATCTCTTCATCTCTTTTATTTCACCCTTCAATTTTCCCCTTCATCCAAGTATTCATCAACCACCCCCTTCACCCCCGTAAGTTCACTCCTCAATTCCACAACCTCCTTCACCACTTCATCAATTTTTTCACCCCTCACCATCTTAATTTCACCCCTCAACACATCAACTTCTTTCACCACTCCATCTATTTTTCCTTCCACTTCCCACTTATGCCTCTCAAGTGTCTCTTTGACTCTCTCAAGTTTCTCTTCGACTCTCTCAAGTTTCTCTTCGACTCTTGATTGTTTTTGCATGATATCAAATTTGATTTTTTTGATATCAGCCAATTCAGACATCAAAATGTCAAATTTACTCTGTTTTCCCTCACCGTCATCCCTCTCACCGTCATCCCCCAATACAACCATCTCTTCTTCCTTCTCCTCTGCCTCCACTACATTCTTTCCAATAACATTCAAAATTAAATTACAATATTAAGACATTGATTATATTCTTAATATTATTTAATTACATTTATTTCCCTTTCTTGCTTCCTTGGTCTATTCAACTTCAACTTCGCCATCACTCTAACCACCTCTTCCTTCCCCCATACACGGATGCGTGCCACTCCGGTTCTTTCATAAGCCGGCACTGCCTCACAGCCCGACAAAAAATCGAATAGTGCAACCTGCATTTATAATAAAATTTATAGTTTTATATAATAACTATATTATCATTTTATATAAAAAAACAAAAACGTTCTTCAACTCATTTACCTCTAAGATTGTTATTTACCATTTGAGGTATCTCTGGTTGCCCTTTTTAAAGGAGATTATTGATTCAATCAATCTCGAATGGACATATTCAACCCAATTGAATTCACCCTTCAAGCCTTCATCGCAAATGAGCTTCATATAGTCTTTGTTCGTTGACGTATCACCCGTTGGACAAAGAAAGATCACGACAAGGTACAATAGAACTCGGGCCTTCAGTTTATCCCCTCCGTAAGATTAACTTTTGATTTCCTCTTCAAGTTCAGCATATGTCACCTTCTGCTTCAAACCATATTTGGAGGCAAGTGTTTTCTAGTTCTTACTCTTAGAGACTTCTACAACACTTTTTCCTTCATTTCCTACCCCCAAGAAGGCTGCAGCACATGGGATCCCGAGAGGAAATGAAAAATCACCATATTTAGCAATACATTGTTTGACATCAAATTGCGCCATCAAGGATCGACACAATTCCCTCCTAATAGGTTGATCCCTTATTCCTACCAACGATCCAAACCTCATTTCTCCCATCACATTCAACTGAACCTTCTCCTTAAGGTGTATAATTAATGAATTCACCCTTTTAATGCTGCACCTTGTCGACACTTCCTACATTTTTTAACAATATATAATGTTATAGTTATATATTTTGTATCAACATATTTACAAGTTTAATGAATACCTTCTTTTCATGTGCTTTCCTCCATTCATTGTATTCTTCACTATCCATCTTTGACTGTGCGATGTAAGGTTCCTTCTCAGCATCACCCATCGAATTCCATTTCTCCAACACATCATTTCTCACCTAATATTAAGCATAAACGTTTTTAATCAATACATTAACGCTGAATAATACTCAATGTCAATTTCAATTTACATACCGAATCGATGTGTTCGCCACCTTCCTTCATCATTTTACATTCGGTCATACTGCCAACATTTAAAATTTGTCATCAATTTAAAGTTCTTAAATACTTTAATCCAATTATCATTTCAACAATAATAACAAAAAGACATTGATACTTACTAGAAGTACATATATCCACCCTTTGGTTGCTTTCGAGTCTCGTCCTCAATTTCAAAGTCATCTGCGCCACTAACAATATTTCCACCCATTGACTCCATTTTTCCTTCATATATCAGTTTACACAAATCAAATCAAATACTTATTACATACACTTTATTCAATATACAAATATAGATAACTACTCTTGTGGTAAAACGGTTTTCTTCAAAAGAATTTGAATGGCCACTACAAAATGTGTCAGCACAATTATACAACCTAAAATATCATTTTCTACATATAATATTATATACAGGTATCCATATTTATTTTCTACCTATAATATTATATACAGGTATCCATATTTATTTTCTACCTATAATATTATATAATCGGTCCCAAATCTTTCTTGGCTTCAATTCGAAATCCCCAAACCAAACCCAAAAACTCTAATCCCTATTTCCTTCAAACGAATGGGAACACTCAATACTCCAAGTATCGGCACATTTATACAACCTATAATATCATTTTCTACCTATAATATTTAATAAAAGTATCGATATTTATATTTTAACTAGAATATCACTTTCTACCTGTAATCGGTCTCAAATGCTTCTTTACTTAGAAAATCCCAAACAACACATAAAAACCCTATTTTCGATTACTGTAATAATAAAAAAACTAGGGTTTTGACAACGTACTTTTCGATTCGACTGCAGCAATAAACAAACAAAATTCGCTTTAGAAACGTCTTCTGAAATGCAGCAACAATTACGCTTCGATTTCAAAAACTCGTCCGTTCTATCTATTTCTCAGAGGATATTTAATTATGCCCTTTATATTTTCATCGGATATGTAATTTCTATTTAATCGATACAACTACAAAAGTGTCGATATTTTTATGTCATGCGTCGATACTTTCGATAGTATAATTATCTATTTCTTTGAAAGTATCGATACTTTATTATGCGTACTTATTAAAGTATCGTCACTTTCAATATATCCGGTAGTGCTTTATCGATTTTATCATTTAGAGACCGGTTTTATCATATTTTTACCTTTTATATCGTTATGGATCGATACATTTTTATAAAGAATCGACACTTTATAGGCGCTAAAACTGCTTCTCCTTTAAATTCACAATGTGTCGATACTTATATTAAAGTATCGACATTTTCAATATATTCGGTATCTCTTTACCGGTTTTGTCTTTTCCTGACCGGTTCTGTCATATTTTTACCTGTTATATCGTTGTGGATCGATACATATTTATAAATAATCGACACTTTATAGGAGCTAAAATTGCTTCTCCTTTAAATTCACTATGTGTCGATACTTATATTAAAGTATCGACACTTTCAATATATCTAGTAACTCTTTACCGGTTTTGTCTTTTCCTAACCGGTTTTGTCATATTTTTACTTGTTATATCGTTGTGGATCGATACATATTTATAAAGAATCGACACTTTATCGACGCTAAAACTACTTCTCCTTTAAATTCACTATGTGTCGATACTTATATTAAAATAACGACACTTGTAATATATCCGGTAGCGCTTTACCGGTTTTGTCATATTTTTTCCTGTTATATTGATGTAGAACGATACATTTTTATAAAGTATCGACATAAACCGACAAGTTAAGTTTGTTGCTTGTCAAATTTTTTAATATTTCTTCATGATTTAGACCTAATACATTATTATTACTCAACATTTTCAATAACGCTAAATCAAATTTATTAAATATCTTTTAATATATCCGATAATACCATATATTATTCGTATATTAACCTGCTTTGCTGATACATTCTCCCGTTCTATATGACCCTTATGAGTCCTTGACTCTTTGCGTTTCTCCCGAGGGTTAGAGAATTCAAGTCTTCTGAGCATTTAATGGATCAACGTGCTGTCTTTTCTTCATGGTAATAATTGCTTGCTTTGTCCTTGTTTCATTCTTCTTTGGGTAAACTACACCAAATGGTCACTCATGTTCGATTAAACTTCTCTTTACCCATTGATGTTTTAATGCTAGTGATTTTATCATTAACGTTATCGATTTATAACAAATCAATCGTTCAACGTTAACAACTATTACTATAGGTGATGGAAAGCTAATGCGGAGTGTTAATCACTGAAATGGATTAGCCATTGTAAATGTTAATTGTAACACGTCTTATAAAGTGATTAATGTATTTTACATGTGACTATAAGTAAATGTTAAACGCAAACGTAATCTTTGGTTGCAAGGAAGAAAGGAAGAACAAATGAGTTCGCCGAGGCTCTAGTTCAGTTATCGACACTTCATTGTTAGACAGTTCTCCAAGCCCCATTGTTCCTTGAGGACTCGACTCGTTTCTTCTGCGAAGGAAGGATGCCGGTTCCTGAGGTCGAGGCAACGAAACCGAGTAGCCATCGAGCATGAGAATGACGGTTCTCATCGTAGGCCTTTTAGTGGGATCTGCTTGAACACACAATAAGCCTACATGGATACATCTAGTCACTTTTCTTGAATAGTTTGTTCTTAAATTGGGATCCATTATTTCCAATGGAGTTCCATCTCTCCAGTGATTCCTACACTGCAACAATTCGGTAAACAATGTCACGTTTTTCGCATTCGACTAAACGAAAGAAAGGTTGATGAACAAATCAATGTACTCACGTAGGTTATGAGGTCTTCAGCACCCTCTGAATCATAAAAGGAACTATTCCTTTTGCCACTTATAATCTCTAGTAGTAAGACCCCAAGGCTAAATACATCAGATTTCATTGAAAGTTGTCCATACATTGCATATTCTGGTGCCATATAACCACTGCAACCAAGTAACAGACCGATTAAGCGACTCGAATAACGAATAATAGAAGAGTTTGATGTTTTCAGAGGGAAACGGAAACATCAAAGTAGAGGATTATTTCAGACTTACTATGTCCCAACAATTCTTCTTGTGTTTGTTTGAGTTTGATCCACACCAAAAATCCTTGCCATGCCAAAATCTGATATCTTGGCCTTCATATCCTCATCCAACAAAACGTTGCTGGCTTTAAGATCTCGATGGATGATCCGGAGCCGAGAATCTTCGTGAAGATAAAGAAGCCCTCTACAGATTCCTTGAATAATTCTGTAACGTCCCAACCAGTCCAAACATCCTTGTCTTTCAGGGTCTGCAAGAATCGATCAACATAGTCATTTCATGACAAAAAATGAATGAAAGACACAGCAAATGCATAATTAAAGGGAACTTTCCATTACAAGGCTAAATTGTCAAAGCATATGAAGAATTAGAGATCGTGTACCATTTTCTTCAGGTACGATTAAATATGTCATAATTAAAAGTCAATCTACAATCAATCGCGATTATTGCAATTTTAAGCAAAACATTCAAAAATAATATCACTATTTAAGGCTCAATCCCACATAGTATTGGGAACAAGTGTTGGTAATGCTCAATCCCACATAGTATTGGAAACACTATTGGGAATGGTATTTAAGGCTTGACTTTCCCACTTTCTTGATGAGTGATAGAGAACAAGGGGGACTCTCGCGCGCCGCCGCCGTCCGTCTCGTCTCGGGTCGGGTCGTGGTCGTGGAATAAATTGCAATGCGAATATGTAAATCGCAATGCGATAGTCGAAGTTCGCGTTGCGATAGTCGAATTTGGAATAAATCGCAACGCGAACTTCGACTATCGCAATGCGAACTTGGACTATCGTAATGCGAACTTGGACTATCGCATTGTGATTTACATATTCGCATTGCGATAGTCCAAGTTCGCATTGCGATAGTCGAAATTCGCGTTGCGAATCTGGAAACTGATTTGCGATACCGGAGATCGCGTTGCGAATTATCGATCGCATTGCGATTTAGTTGGTCATTTTGGCAAATCTAAAAAAAGTTGGTTAAAATCGTATATTATAAGGCATTTTTGGTCACTGAGGTTATTTTCTCTTATTTTAATTAGGGGTGTTCAGATCTAATCCGATCAAAAAAATAACAGAAAATCGATCCAAAAAACCAATAACAAAAAAAAAATCGAAACCGATCCAAACCGAACCGAACCGATGAAATGAAATATTGAATTTACAAGCTTGAAACAGACCCATCAAAAACCCTACAAAATCTCACAAAATTCAGATACAAATTCAGCTTTCCTCGACACACACACGTAACAATTTTGCTCCAGATTCTAGTCATCGATGCCAATGAAAAAAAGGGTGCAATAAATGATAATAGCAAAGAAGGAAAATATAGTCTTTTAGTATTTCCTCAGTTCTGAGGTAGAGAGAAAATTGTCGGGTAAAACTTAGAAAAATGTGTCGTTTTACTTTTATGTGTGACTTACTGACGAGAAACTAATTCGTTTCTTGATTTTTTTAAAATATATATTCTCTTTGTAAGCTTCACAAGCTTGCATTTGTTAAAATATATATTCTCTTTGCTTTTGTTATACATATGTTTTATGAAAAAAATTCAAGAATTATTTTGAAAAATTAGAATCCAAAAACCGCACAAATTCAAATTGAATCAAGCCGCACTTAATTGGATCAGATCGAATTTTTTTAGAAACATCCAAACCGCAAATATTTATACTTTCGGATCGGATGAATTTTTAGCTAAAAACCGATCTAATCCGACCGCGAACACCCCTAATTCCAACAAAAAGTTAGCTCTGTTCCAAAGATAAACAAGTTTTGAAAGCAAAAATCAAGAGTTAAAAATGACCCAACGTTCTTTTCCTCATAGAAGGGGCCAGGACGCAAGACTGGAGTAGGGTGGGCATGGGTCGGGGCAGGGCGGGTTTTCGATCAATCTGATTCAATCCAAGAATGTATACTCTTTATTAGAAATCCGACTCGACTCAAGTTTACATATGACTTCATCCAACCTGATTTTTTGAGATAAAATCTGAACTTGTTCCGACTCGAAATAAATATATATGAAAAATATTATTTTTATTTAATAAAAATAGGATCTAATTGAAAAATATAATACATAGAAGGTTATTATTGTAATGTCTCTAAATATACAAGGTAAATTTTTATTATTTTTCAGGTTAGGCCGGGTTGACTATTTTTTATCGTAAACTCGAACCCGACCCAATCAGACTCGATCCAAATCATATTTTTTTTAAAAAAATCGATCCAATTAAATTAAGTCAGATCGAAATCCGCCGAATTTAGGTCACGTACCCATCCCTGCATTGGAGTGCCAAAAAGTCTAATTTTTCTTAAAAAATATATAATAATAAAAACAATGTTTATAATCTTTCATCATATAATTATTTTAGTCATTATTTTCTATAATATTTTAGTTTTTAATATTTTATTTTAGGATTCAAGTAAAAATAAATATCTAAATTTTACTCTTTTTTACTTTAGGTACCTAAATTATTTTTTGCTCAAACTAAGCACTTAAAATAAATAAACAATTCAAATAAAAAAACTATTAAATTTAATTATTTTAAGTTATAATTTTTTTTCAATTATAAATTATTTTTTGATCAATAAGATATTGATATGTCACATTAAATTAGGTACTTGTTATGACCAAAATATATTTCAAGGGCTTAAAGCAAAAATGATGTATAGTTTAGGGACTTAATTTGATAAAAAAATATTTAAGGTACTTAAAGTGATTATATATAATAATTTCATGACTTATTTAGACTAAAACATAGTTTAGGTAATAAAAACAAAAAAAAGGGTACAATTTAAGTTTTTTTTAGTTTAAGCATTTATTTTAAAACAAAATAATATTTGATTAAATAAAAATCATTAATCAATTAAAGGTTAATATTATTTGTCGACATGATAATAGATACGTGTTTAAAGTGATGATATGACACGTATCATATCATCACTTTGAACATATAATATTTGTTACATTATCATTTTGTACACATAACATATATCATATTTTATTATTTTGTATATGCGATATATATCACATAAATATTTTGTACATGTGATATGTACTTTGACATTTCTTTAATCAGATTATATATGTTATGTTATCACTTTATACACGGGACTTTTATTACATTATCACTTTTGACACGTATCATATATCACATCTTCATTTTGATCATATTTCATAAGTCGTATCATTATTTCAGATACGTAATATGTGTTATATTATCATCTTATATATATATATATATATATATATATATATATATATATATATATATATATATATATTGTCACGTTAACGAACAATATTAACTGTTATTTAATTAATTATTTTTATCCACTTAGAGATCTTTTTATCTCAAAATAAAATTTTAAAGTTTAAATCATTTAAAAAATAAAATTAAAAATTTTATTTAATCAAACTTCAATTATATAATTTTTTTTATCATTATGCATGTAGAAAAGAAGTGCCATGTTCGGATTGGTGAAGAATATCGAAGATCCTCGAGTTTAAAGTCAAGATTCAACGAGGACTAACAAGGGATGGGTTTAGGAACTAAATTTGACAGGTTTTGACTCGATTCAATCCAATCGGGATGGATTTAAAAAAAATAGAATTTGGGTCGGGTCAAGTGAGATTTTTTTAAAAGTTATGTTTGGGTCGGGTCGGAATCAGTTTAGAGTGAAAAATACTCGAACCGATCTGACCCGAAAAAATATAATTTTATCTTATATATTAAGGGATAATTGCAATAATATCATTCTATATATTATTTTCTTTCGATTAAATTCCTCTTTTTTATTAAATAAAAATAATATTTTTAATAAATATATTACTTCAGGTCGGATCGAGTTGGTTTCGAATTTTATCTCAAAAAATCAAGTTAAATAAAAAGCATATATATTTTTTAATCAAATTCGAATCAGATGAAAGATTTATAATTTTAAAATCGGATCAGATAAATAAAAAATTCGACTCTATCCAACCCATGTCCATCCTAAGACTAACACCTCTAATCGGAACAGAGTGCTGAAATGTCCATTTTGAGGTGGGGGGAACATGTGCCATGTTCGGATTGGTTAAGGATTAAGATCCTCGAGCCTCATGGACTAACCTGTAGAAAATCCGAAAATGCATGGAGAATGTTACCAAATACAGTTATGGAGAATGCAAAGTCTTCAGTCAATGATGTATTATTTTGTTTTATTTCTATTTTTCCAATGTTCTTATCATACTAAATACTGTTGTTTTTCTTCTTATCATAAATGTTAGGTCCTAAGTCCCTTTCAGCCCGTCATGAAGTTAAAAGATTTAATATTAAAGGGTAGAAAAACTGTATATTGATTGTCCAACTCAGTTGGTAAAGTATAAGACTTTTTAATCTTGTGGTAATGAGATTGAGTTTCACGGTGGGCAATTCATAATTCTGATTGCCGGAGGTCTCCTACGGAAGCTGCTCTCAACCTGGCGTTGGGGGCAGCCTACTATCATACCTCCCCTTACCCCCATTATATATGGGAATAGGGACAACTAATTTTTTTAATATAATTAAAATATAATGGGGGTGTTTGATAAACAGCTGATAGCTGCTAGCTGATTTTAATAGTTGGTTTGACCAACTGATTCGACTAGTTGATTTGATAAAATTTAACTGATAGCTGATATGGGTAAAATGACAAATAAGTGTATGATATATTTAATTGTTAAATATATATATATATTTTTTATAATAATTTAGTCTTTATTGGGGTGAAATTATTTCGATAAAATACTTTTGATAAGGAATTAAAATTTCTTAAGAAAATTAGTGAATATTTTTAACAATTTTGAATATATTTTTTAAATTTAATATTTAGAGATATTAACGTTGCGAGATTGATACATACTATTAACTTTGTATAAAATATCAACACTATATATATATTTTTTATTTTCATGTTTTGCTATATTTTCTTAATTAAAATATATTTAAGAATCTACAACTAAAAAATAAAAAAATAAAAAAAAACAGCTTAAATATATTAGGATGAAGACTATTTCATTATATTAGGTTTTATGGTAATGATATAATTATGAAAAAATAAGGTCAAATATGTCATTTAACATCTTATTTTACAGCCAGCTCTTCCAAACCGTTGGATTTTTCAACGTTTTAATTTTCAGCTTATTATGTACAATAAACTCTTTTCAAAAAGGTGTTTATCAAACACTAAAAATGAAGAGTTTAACTATTAATCAACTATTTATGCTCAAATAAGCTAAAAGTTCTTCAAAAATCTATTTACCAAACACCCACAAAATCTGTTCAGAATTTCGTTTAGTCATTAATAATACGCACATCTGAAAAACATTCTTATTCGAACTAAAAAATTCTAAAAAGAATAATACTTATATTTACTATCGATGTCATTCAATAAATTATTTAAAAGTATTTGAATTAAATGATGTAAGGGTCCATAATTTAATTAATATTTGAATTATTAATTAATAAAATTTTGGAAATTTCTCTTCACTTTCCATTTAACTCCATCCCTACTTTCAGCCAATATTAGTCAACGACGAGAAAAAGACATTTAAGGTATTTTATGTTATCGGAATGATTTTTGAAGATTTGGATCGAAAAAATACTTTTAGAAAATTCTATAATTTTTGATGAGTACTGTTGAGCATTAATGATGATGATTATTGTTGAGTATCATTAATTTAATTTATAAAAAATAAAATTTAAAAAAATTTAACATATAATTATAAATTAATTAAAATTTTAAAGATAAATTATTTAAAATAAAATATTAATTATATTATTTTCTTTAATCTTTCCTAAATTATTGTTAAAAAATATTATAAAAATAATTTAATTAATATTTATTTTAAATACTTTAGATTTAAAATTTTAACTAATTTATAATTATAAGTTGAGCCCTTTAAAATTTTAAATTTTTATAAATTAAATTAATGGTACTCAATGGTGTTCATCGTTAATGGTGCTCAGCGGTGCTCGTTGAGCATGACAGACTCATCCAATACTTTTATTATATATAATGAATAGTTTGAATTAATTACATCTAATGTCTCTAAATTTTGATTCTCATTATAAAGTAATTCTCAAATTTTTAAATCATTTAATTTCATCCCTAAACTATGACTGCCATTCTAAATTAATCTTCAAAGTTTTAAACGTTTTAATTTCACTCCCAAACTATGACCTCATTCTAAATTGGTCCCTAAAATTTTGAATGTTCCAATTTCATTCCTAAATTCAATTAAATTATAATTACTTTCAACCATTGTTTAACTTAAATTTTATTTTTAAAACATATAATAATATAGCTTGTCCTAACAATTTTATGAATTGGGGGATGTTATTAGCATATACATATAGTTTGAGATGAAATTGAAATGTTCAAAAATTTAGGGACCAATTTAAAATGAAGGTCATAGTTTATGTATGAAATTGAAATGTTTAAAATTTTAAAGACTAGTTTAAAAGGAGAGCCATAGTTTAGGAATGAAATTAGAATGTTTTAAAATTTAGGAACCAATTTAAAATAAGAATCATAATTGAAGAATGTTTGATAATATTAACTCAAAAAATTATAATATATATTTTTCAACATAAGTTTGAAGTGACGATATAATTTTTATTTTGATATTGGATTTGAATAAAGGAGAAAATGTGGAGATAAAAGAAATATTTAATTAATTTATTTTTCTACATTTTTATATTTTATACATTTAATAGATCAGCTTATATATATTTGGAATTTTTATTTTTCTAAAATTTAAATATGTCAAAATATTATATAAAATTTTAAAAATAAATTTTGTAACAAGGAGTAAGGACACTATAGTAAAAATATTTTATAAGTAATTTTCCATTCTCACTATCAAATATTATAATCTAGCATTTTTTTAATAAAAACTGCTAGTATTATTAGAAAATGAAATAATCTGAAATTACATTAAAAATTTACAACTATCATAGTAAACTAAATACATAATTTGGATGTAACACTCTTAATCCATATATGTATCTTAATACGAGTTAAATCAGTCACAGTGACTTCTTGTCACATTTCACACTTAAAAACCCATAAAATTTTGTATTACATACCATTCTATTTTGACTAGCCATAACTGAAAGTATGAATGAATAATATATATATATATATATATATATATATATATATATATATATATATTAATAAGTTTTAAATAGTTTTTAAATTAAGCATTATATATGTAGTTTTATATAATTTATGAAATAACATTCAACTGATTTGTTGCTGCTTAAAATCGATTTTGTTTTGGATGATAAATTTTTATTTTATGATTGTACATGATTAATTAAATAGATTTAAATTGTTAAATTGACAGGTTGAAAAGAAACAAAATTTTAAAGGTTTTTATACTAAAAATGTATTAAATGATTAATGTGACATCTTTAATTTGTATTTCGAGACTCATACAAGTTATGTGTGTTACATTGGAATTTTCTTATAACATTGAAACTAGTCGCTTTAGATCATATAATGACCATATATGGAAAAGGTTAAAAACCTAACCAAAAGACTCGAAGAAAATTAGATACGAATAAATCTAATTGCAGCGATAAACAAACCACAAAAGAGAATTCAACTATTGAAAGACCACAAAGAATCGCAAATCAGAGCCAAACGTCGTGAGAAACTATCCACGAACGGAAAATCACACATCCAAATTCAATTCGAAGATCCATAGCAGGGAAAATGAATAAGATTTTAAATAATCACCTTCTTGATGGCCAACTTCTATTTTTTTTATTCTCTTAAATATAATTTTACTTGGATACAAATTCATGTAATGTCAGTTGATTATATTGAACCTATTGTTACTAAATTAATAACAAAATTAAAAATAAATATAATTATTATTTTATTGAGCATTTTATGATTCAAATTATATGAATTAAATACATAAATCCTTGGATAAATTGAGTAGATCTCAGAACAGCTTCTTCATAGGCATGATTCTTCCAAATTATTGGATAGTTTTGTTACTTTTGTGTAATACAACATCTCATTACAACTTAAAAACTTTACGAGGAAAAGGTAGCTGATGAAGCTTTCATTCATGCATATACATATACCGCATGTTCTTACCTGTTCTTGTAATCTCAAATTTCATCCCTAATGCCTTAACTATCGAGGAACTATATCAGAAATGGAAGCTTCATTCACGGATGGAACTGATTTGCTCGGACTGGAGCAATCAGACACCGGAACATCCGTGTCTCTGCTAGGAATAAGGAAAGATGCCGGACGTCGAGGCGCTTGAAGAGTAACAGAGAAACTGTTAAGCATGAGGACTACAGCTGCCATGGGAGGTCTCAGGGTTGGATCTTCTTGAACGCAAAGCAAGCCGATGTGAATGCATTGAATGGCTTCATTTCTCGGATACGAACTCCCCAAACTCGGATCTAACAACTCCAATGGTGTTCCACTATTCCAATGTTTCCAAACCTGAAAGAAGCCGGAAAATGATCGATAAATGTTCCTGTACATTCGCGGTTGATGTATAGATTTATAATGTAAATCATTTGTTAAGTTGGTCATATGCTCACGTAGCTGAAGAGGTCGTCATCTTCATCTGTTTGATGGAAATTGTTGATTTTCTTTCCGTTGATGATCTCCAGAATTTCACTCCAAAGCAGTACACATCAGACTTAATAGAAAACTGGCCTTGCATTGCATATCCTGCCTGGAGGCATATATCCAATGCAATCCAACAATTAATTATGTAAGTTGAGCAATAAAATTCACTAGTTAATGCTAAATTAAAGGATTTAAACTTAGAGAAAATAACCTCAGTGACCGAAAATGCCTTATAATATACGATTTTGACAAACTTTTTTTCGATTTGCCAAAATGACCAACAAAATCGCAATGCGATCTCTAAATCGCAACGCGATTTACAGTATCGCAAATCAGTTTCCAGATTCGCAACGCGATTTTGTCTATCGCATTGCGATTTTAGAAAATTGCAATGCGAATATGTAAATCACAACTTCCAAATTCGCGTTGCGATTTTCTAAAATCGCAATGCGAATATGTAAATCGCAACGCGATTCTGACTATCGCAACGCGATAATACATAATCGCAACGCGATTCTGACTATCGCAACGCGATAATACATAAACGTTAGTCCAAATTCGTTGCGATAGTCCAAGTTCACGTCGCGATAATCGAATTTCGCAACGCGATTCTGATTATCGCAACGCGAAAATCGCAACGACTGGTGGTATTGCATTTGTTTCTTAAGAATTTTCTCTAAAAAGATAGTATCCGCGCAGACATGTCGAAGACACGTATTACCACGACCACGAGACGGCGGCGGCGACGGTGCGCGAGAGTCCCCCTTGTTCTCTTCCACTCAACAAGGAAGTGTGAAATCCAAGCCTTAAATACTCATTCCCAATAGTATTTTCAATACTATGTGGGATTGAGCATTGTAAACACTTGAGAATCTTTTACACTATCGCAACACATTCTTTTATTGTTTCAAACTAAGATCTTACAAATGGCTTGGAAATCTTTTACACTATCGCAACACATTTTTTATTGTTTCAAACTCCACGTGAATTTGGAATAGTTAAAATATAAACTTATTTTGGATTTTTCACTATCGCAACACTTTTTCACTATCGCAACAACACGTTTTTCAAACTCACGCAACACATTTTAACTATCGCAACACATTTTAACTATCGCAACACATTTTTCAAAATCGCGTTGCGAATCTTACAATCGTGTTGCGAATCTGGATATTCGCGTTGCGAATTTGGAAACTGAGTTGAAAAATTAGAATTCGCGTTGCGATTTTGTTGGTCATTTTGGCAAATCTAAAAAAAGTTGGTTAAAATCGTATATTATAAGACATTTTTGGTCACTGAGGTTATTTTCTCTTAAACTTATTATGTTCAATCAACTCTACTAGTGTTGCCTTGAGATTGATCAACCCTGAGAAATCTTGCCATGCCGAAATCGAATTCTAAGGACTCCATGGTCGTAATTTCATTTTCTGCCATATATATGAACAAAACAAGTACTGCATATTAGCCTTTTGTATGAACTTGACTAATATGAAACAACTCGGTCTTTACCGTTTTCTTGTTCGACAGAATCGTACTTCAGTTCCCTGCAAAGATCCAACAGCGATGGCAACGGGGACGGCAATGGCGATTATAGTTGTTGTTGACATCTTGTTCTTCCCTGCAGCATAACAAACTACGAATCAGGCAAACTATAATTAGTTGATCATTCATGTAAAACTTCGCCGTTCTACCTTTCGGTTGTTGTGCTGGAGGGGAATGGATAATAGGTTTCCGTGTCGGTGAAGGCGGCGGGACGGTTTCGCTGTGATCCGGTAAAAAGGGTACAATTCTTATCTGACGTTAAAGCTCGGAAACACAACTCTGCCCCCTTGTTTCCTCTCGCAGCAACCCGGAAGATAACCGATAGCCGTTTGCAGGCAGGTTTTGCAATTGGACACAGATAAATCCATCGTGCACTGAGCAAGCGTATAGAGCGTTTGGAACGACGTAAAATTAACTTCTTGGGTTGCGTACTTTTTCCCCAACGGATCACCATTAGCAGCCCATGTGGCTATCTCATTCATCGTGTTCCCCATCAACTTCATGAACCGGTCCGGTTGTGAAACTTTCGCCGTGTTCAGCAGTTCCAAAGAAGGTTCCTTCTCCAATTCAAAGAAGGAACGGTCGGAGTAACATAACGTGCACTCGTTGTCAGGGATTTAAATAACGTGGTTGCATCGCACTTATCACAATTGCGGACGGTTGGCTTGACCTTTTAGGTAACTAACCTGGAGGAAGCGAAAGAGGCTGTTTAGGTAGTGAGGCCGGCGACGGGGTGGCTTGACTTTTGTTAATGATAACGAGTCGTTTTTACGTCAAAATATTTCATTCTTCTCAAATAATAAATAAAAGAAATTAAAATGTAGTAAAAGAGAAGTAAGGGGTTGATCTCATATAAATTAAAAAAACTTGTTGATTTATGCTTGTTTTAATCTCTGAATCAAGGAGTGAGTGGAGTAATATTTAAATAAGTTGGAGGATTTGTCGATGAAGGGAATAAAATAAAAGTAAAACAATGATGGAGATTGTAAAGAAAATTAATAAGAAGTAGATTTAAATAAGTTGGAGGATTTGTAGTGAGCAAGTTGAGTGAGCAAATCAATTCTACAGGACAAAACGGTACATGTATTGCATCATAACAATTTGGTGGGATTTAATTATATTTAATACGATAAGAGTGGGATTTTTTTAAAAAAAATATTTAGATTTAAGTTGCATGAGATCATATTTTATATATGAGTGGGGCTAGATTAGGTTGAATTCAGGTAGATGATAAAAAAAATTCAACTCGACCAGACCAAAGATATAATATAATATTTGGGTAAATTATAAATTTAATAATTGAACTTTCATACGATTATTATTTTACTTATCGTACTTTCAAAATTTTCAATTTGCTCACTCAACTTTATGGATTGAACTTTTTTTGTCACTCCACAGTTATATCACTAACATCTCATTGATGTGGAATATTTTAATATTAAACATGACACATCAAATTTTCATAAAATAATAATAATAAGAGTAAATTACAAATTTGGTAACTGAACTTTCATATATTTTACTCACCGTACTTTCAAAAATTTCAATTTTGCTCACTCAACTTTATAGATTGACTTTTTGGCCAAGGTGAGATGAACGGAGGCGGGGTGGTCGAAAAATAGCGTCGGACTTAGGCAGCGACGATGAGAGGGCAAACCGATTGCTTTTTGGTCGAAAAGAGGAGAGGACTTCAGCAGTGGCGGATGTGAGACGAACGGAATGTTGGGATGGCTGAAAATCGATGAAAACTGATGGGAAGCTTTGGTTTCCCGACGAACCTTTGACAGTTTCTATACGACGAAAGACGGGCCTTGACGATAGGCCACTAGGGTTTTAACGATTAAAAAAAATATTTCTCTAAGCCACATCATAATGGCATGAGAGGTTTAACGGCAGAGTGACCAAAAAAGTTCAATCTATAAAGTTGAGTGAGTGAATTGAAAATTTTAAAAGTACGGTGAGTAAAATAAGAATCATTTGAAAGTTCAATTACCAAATTTGTACTTTACCCATAATTTTTTCATATAAATTTATAGATAATTGCAATATATCTCTCTTTATAATTTTTTTAATTAAATTTTTGTTTCATATTAAATTGGATCAGATCGAATTTATACCGAAAAATTCTAAATGGAAGCGGTGTGTGAAATTATCGACTTTCTGATATGGAGGGAATATAAAGATTTACGTGGGAATGGAGCTGAACATGAAATTGCGTGTGAAATTGAAAACCATTTCAATTAAAATTCATTAAATAAATTAAAATTATGATTAAATTAATTTAAAGCGTAAATATTAAATAAATAAATAAAATCCAATTCTATTATTTTCAAGTGTTATGCCAGTTTTTCTTTAAATATTAACTATATATTAATCGATTGATAATATTTATAAAATTAGAACGGTGATCAAAAGAGAATTCGATCATAGTTAAATGATCATGGGTGTAATTTACTTTTAATTTAATTGGCTGTTAAACTAATACACATACATGTCTAATTATATATCAGTTATTTTTTATTTATTAATGTTCATATTAATTGTTATATATAATCATATAAAGATTTCTATCGCACTAATGTCACTCAACAATTTTTTAAAAATATTTAAATATATTACATTGTAAAAGGAAAAATTAAGATGTAGTTTTTATTTTAATCAACAATTCATATTAATTACTCAGAAATATTTAAATTTATATTTATATATCAAAATATTATTAATGATTTATCATTTTTATAATTAATTTATTTCATGCACGAACCAAATGACCTCAGTAGTTAAAGGAACGATTGTTATCTCTAAAAGTCATGTGTTCAAGCACGAGATTTACGGTGTGTTTGGGCATTCATTATAAAGGTTTGAATAGAATCTATCTAGCGATATTAAAGGGAAATGATGTTCTCTTTATAAATTTTTGGTTCAAATAACATCTACCAGACAACAAGAAATAAATATTATCTTATGATTAGCTCATAATTTCGTACTAATAAAAAAAACTAAAATCTAACTTTTGAAGAGTAATCTTTACGTAATATTGGTTAGAAATAGGGACGGATCGAATGGAAAGTGAAAATGGTCTCATTGTTTTTATTAATTTAATAATTTAAATATTAATTAAATTAAATCTTGGCCCTTACATTTTTTTTTTGTTCAAATATTTTTAAAGTTTTTCGACCATTTAATGGTCCATCTTGACTGGTTAAGTGTGAAAAGAACATTGGAAAAAAAGAACTAAAACAAAACAATACAGCATTGACTTAAGACTTTGAGGTCTTTGTACGTACTTAACCAATCCCTGGGCGACGCTTTATTTGTATTGGTAACTTTTTCTACACTCCATAAAACACGTGGGTCCATGCATTTTCGGATTTTTCCTTATAATAATATTATTATTTTAGGCACTTGCTAAATCCATGATAATCAACACAATTCGCCAACCAATATTTAGTATACTGTAGTTTTAAACATGTCGGTTGAGAAATGTTGGGCTCTAATTGGAAAAATCGTCACAGATCTTGATGTTTAAACTTGAAAATCAACTTCAATAATGTGTTCAAAATACATAGATTTATCCATTCTATGCTCGTATCACCATAAACAACATTTCTTGGCGATGATTTGAGTAAAAAATATGGCAGCTGGAACATCTGCATCTCAAATCAAGCATGCATGAAATAACATGCTTGATCTAGCAAAACAAAAAGTTCAATATAAGGTTACATGGATGGACGTGTTAAGATAATCACAAAGAAGAGTTGCTTCAACTGCCTGTGGAGGTTAAGGACGATGATGATCTAGCGATGGCTGCAAGTGCAACATGTTATGAACATGAGCAATGCCTATGGTGTTTAATCAGGGTAAACTTCATCGAGGATCTAGTTCAGAAATTGAAGCCTCATTGACTGAGAATTGGATGGCTTCAGTTTTAGATTGATTAGAAATTGATGAAGATTTGGACATTGTTGCTGTCACCGTGGTGGAATTCATAACGAATGCAGGTCTCGATGGCACCGGAAGAGATATGGAATAGCTACTAAGAATGAGAATCACAGAGGCCATGGTCGGTCTATGAGAAATATTTTCTTGAACGGAAAGCAACCCGAGATGGATACATCTCATTATTTCGCTTCTCGAGCCATCCCTCAGAATCGGATCTACAACTTCAAAAGCAGCTCCATCATTCCAATTTCTCCATGCCTGCAAATGTTTTGTGAATATGAACTTACATTATCTTTTAGCAAATGCTAATCCAGTTTTGTGACAAAAAGGCATGCAGCTTACATGGATTAGAAGAGACTCTCCCGCTTCGTTGGAGAAGCTATTGATTTTTTGACCAGTAATGATTTCCAAAACCAACACTCCAAAGGCATAAACATCAGATTTAACTGAATATTGACCATGGCATGCATACTCTGGAGCCATGTATCCACTGCATATGCGAATACATTTCAATGAATAAACGTAACAAACAACATATAAAATCTTGTCACTCTTAATACTTACAAGGTCCCGGCGATTTTGCTCGTATCAGTTTGAGTTTGATCCACCACAAACAATTTCGCCATTCCAAAATCTGAGATTTTAGGATTCATCTCTTCATCCAACAATATGTTGGCTGCTTTTAAGTCCCGATGGACGATTCGGTACTGAGAATCTTCATGAAGATAAAGAAGTCCCCTTGCTATTCCCTCTATGATTTTGTACCTCTTCTCCCAGTTTAGTTGTAATCGCTTTACTGGATCTGCAAAATTCTCCAAATTATAGGACTCATGTGATTAGTAATAACCAGAGAACTTCAATAGGTGTAGTTGAAAAGGATGAATCCGGTACCGAAAATAAATTTGTCAAGGCTTGAGTTAGGCAGAAACTCATAGATGAGAACCCTTTCTCTCTGTTCCATGCTAAAACCATGAAGCCTAACCAAATTCCTGTGTTGAAGCTTCGCCAATAGCATGACTTCATTCTTGAATTCTTGCTCTCCTTGTGCCGAATTTCCAGACAGCCTCTTTATAGCTACTTTTCGCCCATCTTCAAGCTTGCCCTGATAGCATAGATTTTGGAACAAAGAACAGTGATGGAAAAACTGGAGGCAATAGTACTAAGGCTTCACTTTCATATATTCAAATATTTTCTGCCTTTTTCTGTCTGTAAGATGATGGAAATTTTCATGCACTAAATCTTAAATTACCTTATAAACTGAACCAAATCCACCTCGTCCAAGCAAGTTTGCATCCGCGAAGTTTTCGGTTGCAACTCTTACAACATTAAAGTTGAATTGCAGAGATTCCACATGGTTCTTGTTGTCTGCAAGTTAACATGGATTCAGTTAAGTTATAACATATGAAAATGAGAGGAAAACACTTGCAGGTTTTCGTGAAGTATCTTTTTTATGGTCAACTTACTTTGATCATCCGGCTTGGTTTTCTTGATCCTCTTAAGGAGAAAAGCAGCTGCAAGTATGACAATCACAGCTCCAAAAATGACAATTGGAACAACTATAATGACTAGTGTTTGAGATGAACGGCCTCTTTCCCCTGCGCATGCAAGAACTTTTTATTTACATCAATTTCCTCGTGAAACGGTCATGTCGTCGAAAAGATCCGTACTTACTTTTTGTGAGTGTCGTGTTCACCGACTGCAGCGGCGGAGGACTTGCAGGTGAGGGTGGAGGAGACAGAGTTGAGGCAGTAGTAGAGGCATTTGATAAATAAAAGGTATACAAATCCCATCTAAACCAACAGTTAGGCTTCTGAACATAACCTCCCTGCTTTCCATGGCAACAGCTTTCATAATAAGCAACGGATTGCCTTAGGCAGGAATCACAATCCTTGTCCGATAAATCCGGAGTGCACTGCATTAGTGCATATATCTTTAGGAATACATCGAAATAAGCTTCTCCGGTTGCATACTTAAGAGCAGAAGAGCCGTTGGAAGCCTTTCTCGCCACACTGTCCATCAATCTCTCCCAGACCGTATCGAATTCTGTTAAGTTCGATGGTATATTGCCCGTATTATAGCCTGCGTCTGTCGGTTCTAGCTCGAGGATTCCGACGAAGGGACGATTTGAATAGCGTGCAATACATGGGGGGTCACCTCCCCATGAAAGGGCTACTTTCTGGTTGGGACAGCTAGCTATGAGGTCGTGGATTGAAGAATTGAGACATGTATAACAACCATCAGGAGTAGAGTCTCCTCTGCACATACCGAGACCGTAAACTTTGCTGGAGTTTTGGCCAACACTTTCAGTAAGGAAACCACCTTTTGCAGAGACATTAGGTAGGAGAGAAGAGAGAATAAGGTCTCGGTTTTTGGCATATGTACTATTAACGGTGAAATTCCCAGTGTCATAGCACCTCAGATTAGCTTCAACAAGACTGATGCCAATAAGCAGATAAGAGAGGAATGAAGAAAGAGCTTCAAGTTTAACCGCCATTGAGATTCTATAGTTTGATGAAACGGAGACCAAAAAGAAAAAGAGGGAAGTGAGAACTTCTGTTCCAGATTTTTCTTGGTAGAGATGGGTGTTATTTTTGTTCCTTTGCAGCAAAGAGCACCCATTGAAGCAAAAGGCTTGAGCTGTTAACAGGCCGATCCTCAAGACTTTAGTTCCTCAGTCAACTGTGTGAGGTCCAGTTGGTAGGTCATATATATTGGTTAACTACAACAATAGTCACTAATATTATCAATTTGTAACAAAAAGGTCACTCCATCGTTTCTTTATTAAATTGATGATTTGGCAACGTCAATAAAAAGGCTAATATTCAGTTTTACCCTTAAAATACTACTAAAATATCAAGTAGGTCCTTGAACAATGATTTTATACCAAATTTACCCCAAAACTTTCTAATTTGAAAAAGAAGAGGTTCAAATGATTGTTAATCGGGGATTAAACAATTTGTAAACTTCGAGAAAGGATATGAGACTGACGATGTTACTATGAACATTAACATTATTGTCAAATGACTAGAAAATAGTGATTTAGTTTTTACTTGAATCTTTAAATTTGGTCCGTTAATAACAACGATCGTGGGAGGTATTTATAATTTTTACTATTTCTTGTGTAGTAGTAGCTTTGTTTGATTCATGCATGAATTATGCTTCAATAGACGGTAATGAACCAAAGAGTAACATAAAACATACAATTGTTCTCTTTTTGTATTATGAAGGTTGTTGTAATTAAGAAAATGGAGTTGCCACCATCCAAAGAAGCTGAAGGATAACATAAATTTTGTGTTGAAGTTGATATCTTGAGCATACTTGACCATCCGAACCAAGGAGCAAGTGATCGAAACTTTGAAGCAAAATCTCTAACTGACATCGAAATAACCCATTTATCCTTGGTTTCCATCATGTTACTAATTTCATGTTATTTAATTTCATTTTATTTTCAGATATATTCCTCAAAAGCTTCAGTTGACATCGAAACAACCCATTTATCCCTCCACCATTTCTCCACCCAAAAATAATACAAATACTATTGTAAATTAGAAAAATATTCTTTGAATCTAACTAAATTCTAGATCTTTAGTTTGCATATGCTTATACCCATATTTAAAGCACACAAACTATATTTACAATTGAGATTTTTTTTCTTCCTTTTTTAGTTATTGGGACCATAATTTTATAATGCTTAAATATCACAATTGATTCTAATATATTGATTTATAGTGGATTTCTTTTCTGGGTTTCGTTAATTTCAGCAAAACTAAGAGATTTTGTTGCAGATAGTTAGACATAAGGGAACCAAATACTATTGAACGTTTAAACTCAATTGTTTGTGCGCATTTGCATTTGTAGTAGTTTTTGTATCTAATATCCACTTCGATTCTAGGTATAACATCCATAATTATGACGAACTCAATTGTTGGCGAAGAAATAATCATAAACTTATTTCACTTTTGATTAAAATTCTTGGTGTTAGCTATATGTTGTTTTTGTACGATAAAGGTGGATAGTCTCTTCTATTTTTAAATTAATTTTTTTTGGGGGTAAATTTGATATAAAATCATTATTCAAAGACTTATTTGATGTTTTAATAGTAGTTTAAGGGAAAATTGAATACTAACCTTTTTATTAACGTTGTCACGTTATCAATTTAACATTGATAATGGTGGAGTGATCATTTTGTTATAAATTGACAAAGTTAGTGATCAATTTGTTATTTTTGAAGCTTCAATGAGAAAAATGAAAACTTATTCAAATTTTAGTGACCATTGATGGAGTTTACCCTATATATGTTTTTTAGTTATATGAGAAGATAGTTTAGAGGGAAATAAGAGAAATATTGGGGTAGGTGTGTTATAGTATAATTATATTGTGTATGGATAAAAATATTTTTTGTAATTGTTATTTTTGGCTAAATTTTAATTTATTTAAATATTTTAATGCAATTATATTAATTTTTCTATGTAAATAGAAGTTATTAATTTAATTAAACGATGAAGAAATATTCAAAATTATAATGAATTTTATAACCATAAATATAAACTAAATATATAATTAGAAAATATTTCTATAAAATTGACATAAAATAAATATTCAGTTAAATATGGAACAAATCTGATTGCATCGACAAATGAATCACATCAAGGGATAAAATAATTGAAAACCCGTCGATAATAGCAAGTCATAGTCAAGCGTTGTGAGAAAACTGTCTTCGAACACAAAACACATATTCAAATCCAGTTTGAGGGTCCCAAGCAGAGAAGATCAACATTCATAACAAATAAGCGTCAAATTGATCAATCGAGATGTCGTCAAATCTAATCCTAAGAAAATTAAGTAAATAAAAGTCAAACGATCGAAAACGTGACAAAAGACAAAGAAAAACTATAAAGACATTAAATCAAGTTATAGAGACGAAGTTATTAGAAATTAAAAAAATGCGATATAAGAAAATAAAGTGAAAAAATAATGAATACAAACAATCGACGACCAACGTCAAGGTTGGTATTACCGCCTACAAATCAAAGAAAAAAGGAAATGATAAAAAAAATGACAAGAGATTTTTAGGGTTTTGCGACACTGTAATTTTATTTATTTATTTTGACACATGTTCATATTTATTCATTTTTGAATAGTTTATGATGATTATAATGTAATATTTGTTAATAATTGATAACACACAGCAGACGTAGCTACTTGAACCTAAGACTTGTAAGGAGAAAAACACTCCCTTTAAACACTGATGTCCCTTTATGAGTTCCCTCATATTTATTTCAATACATGATCCATTTTACTTTTTTTTAATAATATATGATTCATTCTATCGTTTGAATGTTATATGATAGATTATGTCATCTGAATATTATTGTACACGAATAAGTTATAAAATAAAATATTAATTGACTTCAAAGAATTATTTTTAACAGTGATGATAGGTCTTAAATCTGCTATAATGGGTGAGTTGAGACTCATTAATTTTTTAACTATTAATAAATTGGATAAAGTACATAAATGATATCTTAATTATAGGACATTGTTTTATTGAGTTTTCCTACTATTAAAAGTTAGGGCGTTGCTTTGTTGAGTCATTGATTATTAAAAGTTACAAAATGATCACCTGACTATTCATATGTTCCAAACTCGTCTTATTTATTTAAAAAATGACGACAATATGAGTTGGATGTTAGCATGTTGAATGTAGTAAGATAAAATTTGATCTTAGAATCTCAAACGATTAACATATCTCAGTCAGCAGGTTAACGTCCAACTTAGACAATGATCAATTTTTTAACAGATGAGTAGAGTTGTAAATGAGATGAAACAGATAGCAAGCTACTAGAGATTGACTCGGTCAAAACTCGATAAATACTCGACTCGAATGGACTCGACTATGACTTTTGTCTTTTGTTTTTGAGCTTTTACTACCTTCATTTCATGATTTTAAATTCGAGTCGAGTTAAAAATTTTAGGCTCGCGAGTTTTCGAGTCGAGCTCAGCGATATTCGAGCTCAACTCGGCTCGTTTACAGCCCTACAGAAGAAGACAAACTTGGAACATTTGAAAAGTTGAGTGACAATTTTGTAACTTTTAATAGTTAGAGGACTAAACAAAGCAACATCCTATAGTCGGGGGATCACTTTATAACTTTTAATAGTCAAAGAACTCAACAAAGAAATATCCTATAATCGATGGATCATTTCGTAACTTTTAATAGTCAATAAACTCAACATACCTTATAATCGGCGATCATTTATGTATGTTACCCTAATAAAGTTTCATATAAGAATAGTATTAGATACAATTATAAGATACATATATTTTGAAAGAAAGAAATTAAGTTGAACTTAAAAAATATATTATTATTAACAATAATAGTCACAAATCTTTATTGGTTGCGACTGATCCCTTAGCTATGCTTTTCTCTTAGCTAAAGAGGTTGAAAGGGCCACTTATACTTCTAAATAAAGAATGCTACAGTGATGTGCAGCTACGAGTTCAGGAGAAAAAGCAAGAGCTAGAAGTGATCCAGATGAGAAATCTGAGGGGTGATCAGAGACGAAGGGCCCTTAGGGCCCAAGAGAGTCCCGGCCCCTGCTCCAATTTTATGTTTTTTACCCTAGTACTAATATAATTGTAGGAGCCGACAAAAGGCTTATAAGTAGAGTAAAATATTAAAATATTTCATAGAAAAAACTTGAGTTAATCACCCTCTCATCGACTAAAGCTCCTCCAATATTACTTTAATATGATTCTCCATTGTTCGACACTCAATTTTTAAAGGTAAATAATTAAATAATATTATATTTATTATTTTTTAATTAGAATTATTTGATCTTATATTTAATTTTAGTATTCTTTTGGCTAATCTAATAATTGTTAAGGTGAATAGTGATTACTAAATTTGATTTTTTTATGTTCGTGAAATAATTTTATATAAATGCAGCTTGCCATAGGAAAAAATCCAGCAATTATTGAGCTTTTTAAGAGAAAAAGCGGGGAAACTTCGAAAAATACAAGTACAACAACTGAAACTTCAACTGGTACACCTATTGACGTTTCACCTTCGGAATATAGACCTTTAAAGATAGATAGAAATCAGAAACCAAGTACCAACTCTAATTACTTGGAGTGAGATCCTGGTAAGCGCAAGCAAATATTGGAATATCTTTTTGAACAAGAAAGAAATGCAATTCGAAGAGCTTATGTTACTGAGGGTCCATATCAACCAGTACTCTCTGAATTCAAAAAATCTAGACATGTTTCTCACCCTCCCGATTTCAAGCTTCCTGGTACTAAAACTTTCGTTCATGGTTAGAATATTCTCTTGAAAATGATGTTGCCTTCTATTTTATTTGCTTTCTTTTTAACAAACCAGATAGTCATCCATCACACAAGACTTTCACTATGAATGGGTTTCAAAATTGGAAGAAAATAAATGGAAAAAGTTGTTATTTTAAAATGCATGTAAGTTCATAACCTAATTCACCTCATAAAATTGATGAGTAAGAATTGGAGGATTTTCTTAACCAGTCTAGACACCTACCACAAGTGTTTCATAAGCAAACATCATTACAAATTGCTA